CGGCCAATAAGAAGTCCTGGAACGGACTATAATGCGGTTGCGACTCATCGTAAGCTCTTTTAAGTACACTAGCTCTTGGACAGTAAGTTGGTGATGTAGGCAACGTGTGCTAAAGTCCAGAAAACCGGAAATCTCAACACAGCGTATCTCTTTAAGGGAAAATTGTACTCGAGTGAGCTTCTTCCCTCTGTAATGAGATTCCTAGTTTTCTGGATTTTAACGCACGTTGACTACATCTCCAACTTACTGTCCATATGAGGCCTTATATGTAACAATGGCGGATGTGAAAAATTACCTTTTCGAAACACGCTTAAAATACTGTTTCGTTCACACAAAAATTTAATATGTTTCGCTCTGGCATAATGTGCAGGTCTCGAAGATCACATCTCAAGTATTTTCTCGATGCCAAAACGGTTTTTTTAATGTGTTTCGAAAAAGGTAATTTTTCACATCCGCCATTGTTACATATAAGTCCTCAATACTACTCCCGCGTCTACGCGCAATCAGTTTATGACATCAGTTTTTCCTCAGGAAAATTTGGCCCTTAAAATTTTGATCAAAAAAGGGTGGGAGAATCTTTTATACACACATGATGCATGAGAATAATTTATGAACTGAGGAGGAAGGTACTTACTCCAGTTTTCATCTATGTCTCGACCTCGCTGATAAGAGCTCACCTCAGTGCACAAACTACCAAGCCATTGTTTCAACCATTCATGAGCATGACTTAACCATCAATCGAGCGTGTTCAGATGATGCGTAACTGATGTTATGAAAGGATACATCTAATCCAAGATCAAAGATCAATTGAGTTAGCACTGAATCGCTCATTGTTTCTGGTCCGGCGTCATGTTGCGTAGCACTTCGCCTCGAAAAACGGTCGGTAGTACGTACAAAATTTGCTGCACCTACTCACATAAACCGACTCGAACAGTTTTCAAAAACTTAGTAATTACCTGTATCTCTGTGATTTTACTTCTTACATATGATGGATAATGTGAACGGCAAAAGAAAACTGCCGATGTCAACGTTTAAAGCCGCGCGAGACTTCAACTTTCTGAAGTGAGTCAAAACTGTCACATACTTGGGAATTTTTTCTGTGTCACAAACATAAATCAGAGGATTGTCTCTAAATCCGAGACAATGGAAAATGCGTAACATCCCTCACGACGGAAATTTTTCTTTTCAATTTGCATTGAAATACATGGATAACTTTGAAATTATGTCAATTCTTCAACGCTTACACTACCTTTCAGATATTTATTAAATACTCCGCTGAATGAATAACAGAACGTTTTCACGTAATTGATATACTGGATTAAAATTTATCTCGCTGTCTCAGGATTCTTTTCTTATTTTTTTTTAAACGCAGCTGGTAAGATCATTACGACAGGTTTTGTGTCAAATAGACTTGAAGCATAGAAATTCAAAATTTTAGAAACATTATTCATATTTCATATCATATTATTCAAAGAAGGAATCGACTATAATTTGAAGGATGTTTTCTAGCCTACCGCAAAAATTGAAGGCGAAATGGTGATGTACGTAACCTTCGTTTCGTTCTTCAGCTGTTTCCTCTAAATTTTCATTCATACACGGAAAAAAATGAGTTAGGGTTGAGGACTAGTTTCTGCCCTTCAACACTACCGCGCGGTACCTGATTTCGCAGTCGTAAGCCAAGGTAGTGCTGAAGCCTACCTCGCGCTTGCGTTCCACGCTAGATGACCCGTGACGTTCAAAAACAGATCTGGCAGCGCGTAGGCACAGAAACAGAAGGCTCCAAGGATAGATCCGGCAGGGCTGAAGCCTACTTGATGCAAAGTTGCCAAAATGTGCGAAAAAATCTGATTACACCCGTAGAGCATAATTTCATCGCGCACAATATAGTTTTTCAATTATTTTTATTTTTTTTTTAATTTTTTATTTTTTAAAATTTTTCTTGCAGTTTATTTGGCTTTTCTTCCTGTTTTTTTTTGTTGCTCAGGAAGCCATAGCTAGCTATAGACACGAGTTTTTACAAAGAAATTATTTGATTGTCAACGGGCATCAGGGAGACTTTTAGAACATTCATGCTCCATAGCTCCGGCTTTCAAATTTTCAGGGATTAAGGTCGAGTAGAATCTGTTTCTGCAGATCCACTCGTCAGTTCGGTGAAAATTTGTCGCCACCACCGGGATTCGAACCCGGGATATATGGGTCTAGTGTCAGACGCGCTAACCACTAGGCCAACCTGGCCAGCTTGATTATGTCAAGGAAAATCTGAGTTTTTGGGTGTTGATTCTTTCCTCATAGTATTAAACTATTACTTTAAATAAAGCGCGGGACTGGGCAACGCGACGCGGGGCAGCCATGTTTTCTTTCCTCGTCCGAGGCGAATACGATGACGATAGTCGAGCAGTCCACGGCGCATACGCATCCCGGACATTCTAGCCTTCCGCAAGAGAAATTCTACTTGTGGAAACAAGCTTGCCATGTGTGTTGCAGTCAAGCGGCGGGTAGGCGCTACGGACAGCGAGAGGTAGCGTTGACGAATACATGTTCTGTTCCTCAGGACTACCGACCCTAAAACTACCCATAGGTAGTGCCGAACCCTACCCTGATTTTTTTCCGTGTACAACGTACTATTATTTATTGAAATACTGATAAAAGTCTTGCCTGACTGAAATCACTTTCGCCACGCATTAAAACATCAGACTCCACGAGGTGCAAAAGTTATCAATTTTGAACACATCGTCGTGCCCTGATCCAGTGGCATGGCGTGCTTAGCGATATATCGATAGATCTGCCATTTAAACCTATGGAAAAGGGTCGGCAAATAGGATGTTCGCAACGAACACCTTAATAATCGAGTCTTTACCACAGCTTCATAGGGTGAAATATCGATGATCGATCATTCACTGCTCTGATCCATGGTGAAAGCTTGTATAAAGAGCCTCGCGATCCCTCGACGGATCACGAACCTTTTTGCAGCGCTAATGGCCGAGGCGACACGAACCAGCGACGCGACGATGCGTGGCGCAGTGGCGCTGACCATCGAGGACAGTCGTGAAGACAAAGTTTCGAGCCCACCGTATACAATGGCGAGAAAAGAGCAGAAGCTGTGAGGAGGGTTCTCCGGTGACGTTAAGCTCCAGATTTTCGTAATGAATGACTTGAAAGCTCCTCGAAATTGAGTCAAATCAACGGCATGCAGCGGGTCGATCATTGAAAGCTTAAAGCAGCCCGATACGACATCGAATTTCGATATATTGCTTGGTTAAGATAGGGATATGTCTTGTCGTATTGTATCGATTGACATAGTTTCAATGGAGATGTTGCATGCGTGAGGAATTTGCGATTTGACTATCATTTCTCACGTAAAAGTTGGCAAGAAACACGATAGTGCCACTGGTTTAATCTGAAATCAAATCCCAAGCTCAAAAAAAGCTCTCAAAGTTGAGGCAAAATGACGGGGATATCCCACGCTATTCTGAGAGTCCACCTTTACATCAAAACAAATTCTCCATGCGAAGATATGGAGTAAATACATTAGCAGGGTTGCCGTGTTTTCAGTTTTTGAGTCCCCAAATAAAGTGGCAGCCCTGTCAATATATTTGCTCCCTATCTTTGCATGGAGATTTTGTCTTGATGTAGAGGTGGACTCTCAGGATAGCGTGGGATATTCTCTCCATTTTGGCTTCAACTCGAGAGCTTTTTGGAGCTTGAGAGATGATTTCAGAAAAAACCAGTGGCACCATCGTGTTTCTCGCGAACTTTTACATAAGAGTCAACAGTCAAATCGCAAATTCCTCACACATGCAACATCTCCATTCGGTAAAATATTCCACAGAAGCTAAGCGTAACATCCGATCAGTTTCCATCAGCGAGAGCCTAGGTACAAATATCCCAGCAACTTATCTTGCAAGGCATCGGTTTCTTATACGCCCTCTGTCTCAAGCTCTGCGAAACTCCAGATTGGACGTCAGGCCATCTTATGGACGCCGGCGGCGATTTGCGAAGCTGAGGAGACCAGTCATTTCAGTAAATTAACAGTAAATCTTGCTGATCTCACTAGGAAGCACAGTTGCCGTATGCGCGATTTATTGCCTTTCACGTTGGAGATCAAAGGGATTTCGCTTCCTCCTTAAAATTTGGCGAGGCTGGTCGGACGTCCACAATCTGCCACGATCATATCTCACGGTGGTTGGAAATGTCTTGCTTGTCGTTTCAAATTCTTCAGCGATACTCAGCAATCCTAGTTTAGCGAAAGACGTTAAAAATACAGGAAGTGGAATCAATTTAACTCTTACTTTTTAGAACGCGTGATTAGCAAAAAAGCGACTCGTCTGAAGAAGCTATGACTTCATAGAGGAAAGTAGCCGGTGAAGACAAAGTACAATGCTGCAAATACATACCTCAATTCGCAGCAAATTTGGGTCTTTCACAGGGTGAAGTAGCAGCTTTTTCTCGGCGAAGCTTTACTCTCATTGGTTGTTTTGTATGACTGATATCAATTTGTACGCTTTAAGTTCCCGTAATTAGTTAACGTTACGTTTGGCTAAACAGATTCAGATCTGAGGTGGCCATAAAAGTAAATAAGGCGTAAGAAACGAAAATGGCTTAATTTGTTGCTTTAAAATTTCGAAAATCTGGAGGATACCCCCCCCCCCCCCNCCCCCCCCCCCGTATAGATTCGCCTCGACGTTACTTATATAGCTGAAAACCAAAGCTGAAATCGCAAAATTGACGCATACACACCTAAAAAAACAAAGATGCCTCTAATTTTGGCTCCAATTTTTGTAACTGGTCGGAGTCACTCAGGGCCAAATACAAATAAATCGCAAATAAATTAAAGACTTGAAAGTAGAGTCAAACTTGACTCAATCTCATCCTTAATATAGGAGCAGGATCTATTTCCTTCAGCAGTGTAAACCCTATGCGGAAATGACTCCTGTCAACTTTGATCGGAATTTTAATAATTATACACGGTTACTAACGGTTATCGTTTATTTTTGTTGCAGATGAGAAGGGGAGACTTCAACGCGGTCGTTGATAAAGTCCAGGTTCGAATCGGGTCGTTTTGATGGAGAGGAATGTTCCAGCATGAGCAATTCTACGGTTTGCCAGCGGTTCATCCAAAATGCCTGGAAGAAGGAGCGGTGCTCGAACTGCTTCAAAGCGAAAGAGGACCACGTCAAAGTGAACGGAACGAGCATAAGTTTGAATTTGACGCAAATCAAGTCCATCCAGTCTCTCACCAATGGGATTGTCCCCAGGGTAAGCTAACAATTTCATTTCAATTTGAAAAGAGTCATGATTTTCAGCTGACACTTCTCATACAAATAAAAATGGGAAAAAATTAAACGTGAAATGTGCTATAAAGAACCGCACTATTTCAGTAAGATGATTGCTGAAATTGATTAGACAAAACGATAGACAAAGGAGACAAAAGAAATATGGAGCGATCTTATTGGTTGACAATGGGTGGACTTATAGACAAAGGGAAAAATGATGGACTAGCTAAAGGGTCTCTTGTCGGTGACCGTTAGTTGTCTATTACCTACCTCCTTCGTCCATTGCAACCACCCGTTTCCATCAATAGAGTCTCCCCCATTTTCCTTACGTCTTCTTTTTCTACAGCTTTGTCTGCGAATTTCGACAATCAGCCCATTGCTTCATTTCAGAAACAGCATTGTGATGGCGTACAAATAGAAACTAGATTTAGGAGTTAGGGTAGAGGAGGTTTGCTCGCTTCGAAGCGACCGACCGGATTTTGGGAAAAGCTAAGAAAATGCGTACAAAAACCCGTTGATATATACGCAGAGATCCAGCGAGAACCAATTATTCGTTATTTTTGCGAAACGTAAACATTTGATAGCACGTTAGCAAAAGGGAACCATGGGTAGGTACAATCATTGCAAACGTGCCAAGAAGTTTTTGTGGGCACTTTCAAAAAACAGCCGCTTCGTAGCCAAAACCAGCCGTTTCGTCAACACATTTCTCCTTGAATGATTTTATCTATTTGAGCCTTTAATTGCCCGATGTAGGTATATATTCTTAACACATGAGCAAGGAATAGTGGTACCGTATTGCAAAACGTACTGAGTCCGATGGGTCAGTTGTGCTGGTCACAGGCCGCAGAAATGCGCTTTGGAGTGAACAATTGAACATCTCGATTACCTACTCATACTTTGATGATCATACGCGAACTCTTCGATATTAAATATCAACTTTGGGAAGTGATGCCTCACAAGATTGGATATATTTGTAGACACGCGCCTGAAAAAGAGCATCGATTCAAATTGAAACTTCATGCCGGCTCGTACAAAAATGTCTGAAATAAATCGGGAAACCCCTGAGAATTCGATTCCCCTTTATTTTGAATAATTCCTCTCAACATACGATCACGGTTTCAGAACCGATCTTTACCTGTGCACAATTCGTTGCAGGTATCCTATCCAGTGACATTATTTTACTCCACCACGCTTCGCTTCACCTGTGCAAAATGTGACTGACACAGCGCACTCCTCCGCTGAATGAACCGATCATAAGTTCCTGCCGGCAATTTCTCTTTATGACACGGCAATAATTGACTCAAATGAATTTATCACCCGTGTTCCGGAGCTTTCGAAAGTTATCGGCCGATCGAGTCTTTGGGCAAGGGCGTCGCGTCGACGCCCATTCAAAGGCTCCCAAGGCCCCTCCCCTTTTGTGGTCCCACACTCCAATTCGCTCATAGTTCCGAGTCGTAAATAATCGACTATCAATATTTTCCCATATGAAGCTACATAAAGAATCGATTACATCGAGAGCACTCTGATAATCGATCCTTTCACATAAGTTTAAATGGGGAAAATATCGAGAGTCGATGATTTACGCCTCGCCTTTGATTCGCACCCTGATGATAAATCTCACTCGATCGAGATATACACAGGTGGGTTGCAAACACTGCCTAGCCCGCGTAACTTTCATTCAAATTGCCTAGTATTTATCGCCCAACACATGCACACACACGCGCGAAAGTTTTATGCAACGCTCAAAAGCTAAAATAATGACGCGCCCAGCAATAAAAGCTTCGTTAATATTTTTGCAACGTTTTATGACGACGGTGACGCGTGGAGGATACTTGACACGACCAGAAAGGAAGCCAGCTTTTGAAAATTAAGGCCCGTTTAGCCCGATCTGGTATAATTATCAGGGTGCTTTGCGATCTATCGATATTTCCCCATTTGAAGCCGTGGTAAATAATCGATTATTAAGGTGTTCCCGGTGAACACCCTGTTTATCAATACTTTTCCATGGGTTTATATGGCCGATCAATCGATATATCGCAAAGCGCGCCGCGCCACTGGTAATTATGTGCGTTACTTTTACTCTCGGGGGCATGTTGTGTTATTAATCGGTCGAGCATATCGCGCGGAGGATATAAATTGCCTCCGTGAGTTGTTGGTACCTGGGTATAATTAAATTAATGAGTAATGGTCGCGAGAAGAAGTGCTCTCGTTGACTGTAGCTTCTACCTAGACGAGCGGGGTAGAAAGTAAAACAGAGGTTGGTGCCGGCGAGTGAGACAGCATTGCGTCTCGCCAACCTTGGTCCAGGCTGAAAGTTGTTCGCGCTGGGTTTTGAAACGAGCATTGTGCAAAAAGCTGGTGTGGACGGCTGAAAGTTCCCTCTTGCTTTCGTTAGAGGCTTTCAGCAATTTACTTACTTGCGCTTTTGTCTTTTTTCCCAAATTGATTTTTTTCCTCACTCAGTTCAGGGCCGGATTTATTTACATGCCGCCCATAATGGGCCGCCTGTATTTTTCCGCCCCCTCCTCATTTGTTTCGAAACATCGGTGGATCGAATTTGACAGCGGTTCGATGTATCGGTTGGTTCAAAACAATAGAACATAACCTCAAACAAAAATTTTAGCGGTGGTGCGACAGCAGGTGGTAATACGAGGATCCAGAAGGACAGAGCACTAGAGCACCTTTAATTATTTATTTACTGTGCAAAGATATCTCTTGAACACGAATATCCGATCTACATCCGATAATCATTCTTAACACAACGCGATATCAAAACTGGAACACAAAAGGTATTTACATCCAAATTTTCGTGCCTAAGAGATATATTTGTAGTATAAACGAGGAATTGATCGCGCATGTCATTTTGGATCTTCGCAGTGCAGTCCACCGCCATACCACGGCGCGGGTGAAGCGGAAAGTCAAAACGCCTTACCTTTAGCGTGTATGCAACTAGGACATCCGTAGAGGCCGAATAGTTGCATCCAGATTCCAGGCGTTATGAAGAAATTCCTTTCATGTTCGGCGCATTCAGTACTAATGGAGGGCGCTTCGTTTGCTTTTTGGAACTACATATCTGTGGACTGATTGAGTAATTAGGGAAAGCCAAACTCGCGAAAACTACAGAAGCCAAAAGATCTTAAATATTTTCATGAGAAGAAGCACAGACGTTTAAAATTTCATGACCTAAGGGACGACATAACAACATCTTTAACACAACCAGCAAATTAGAATAGAACTTGGGGGCTGGCAAAACTGTATCAGTTGAAATAATACTATTTTTAGAGACAACTTATCCTCTCAGTTCAAGATATGCTTCAAAAATCCCATCTGCTGTCACCGCCAGATTTTCCATATGCCGCAACTGCCGGCAAATTGCCTCGGCGCCATCTTTCATTTTTTTCCCTCCTCCTTTCTCCCATGAAGGCTGCAGGAATCACGTAACCACTCCGATAAAAATATCCAAATACAGCCCTGCAAATGCTGAGGAAAAACGATATTTAAACACGTAGACGTTGCCAAAATTCTTCTGATAAAAGATTAGTTGTGGGGGGAGGATTATAAATGTATTCCCTTGGAATTTTCAGGATAACTATAATATATTGCGCGGATTCATTTCTTTGCAAAATTTGAAAAGAATAGTTCAAAAACTTATAGAAAATTAACATTTCTTCGCGAGAACTTTGGCGACGCTTGAAAGTTCATATGGTGCTTTTTCCTCAACGCACGACAGAGGTGGGTTTTTGAGAAACCAGTTGACAAAACGAGAAGCTTTGTTGACAAGCTGGAGCGGACCCGCTCACAAGTGCAACTAATTGCCCGACTTTGCCCTGACGACTCGCGGAGTGACGAATGCGCGATCTGTTTCGGTAGCGGACGGCGCACAGTGGATCGAGTCAATTGAAAAGGTCGGACAAAATTTGGAAACTATCAAAGCCTACAACTCCGTTTATACAAAACTTAAAGGTTTGAAAAGTGCTTTCATTGGCTTTATTGTGAAATTTTCTCCATGAAACACCCCTTGAAATTCAAAATTTAATGGAATAAACATAAATAATTGGGGGGCTTGGAAGACAAGGCGCACAACGTGCAGTGTTTGCTGTTTCGAGAAATACGTGTTTGAAGTTTCGAAATCACATGTATCCTTATGGCGGAAAAAAATTTCAAACTGACTTTTCGATGCTTAAAAATTGGAATTTGGGAGCGAATTTTTCACAGAATATGCATTCAGACTAATTTTACTTGAAATTATTAATATCTCAATTTTTTCAAAAACTGCACTTATGCGCCCAAGGCCCCTCCATGCGGCTGCTGTCCTCCAAGGCCCCTCCATTGCGGTTTTGGTCAAAAAATTTAAGTCCGATCTCTCCCATTCACTCGATGCACTGTGCGGCGAGAGCAAAAGCGCGAAAAAAACTTGTTTTTCGACAAAATGTCGCCCGCGCCGCCGCCGGGTTTCAAGAGCGAGTGACATAATTTTCGCGTGCGAACCACGCTTCGCCAAATGACGTGTGCCCGCAGTTGGGCCGCGGATAGCCGGCGCGCGCATCCAGTTGGCTCTCAATCTCTATCTGACCGGTTAGAATGTGCTCGTTAAGTCGTTAATGTAATTAAGTGATCACTCCTATCTCTCCCGCACTCCCTGATGGTTTCTCACTTTTTATCATCTCTCAGAACATTAGCCTTTCCCAATTTTGATGCACCCGAACTTTGGAAAATGCAGAACTTCTTAACTGCATTGATGCATTATCTCCATTAGTGAGATCACAACTCTGGAATATGAACACGTGTAGTGATACTCCCGTGTCTAGTGATATTGTTCCAATTTCATTCGAAACTACTTTCCTTCAGGTTAGACGCTTTACAATTAAATTGATTTTACTCGAATGCGATCATTTTTAAAATTCTTTTCGTCCCTGTTTTGAAGATGAAAAATTATTGATCGGGTACCTGTGATGTCGATCTTGTCATCAAACGAGTTTCAACGTGGTTTGATGCAACCACCAAACCATTGCGATGCAGTTAGATTAATTTCGCGCGGTGACATCCAACTAAATTGTGTGCCAAACTTTTTCTGATAAGCGGTGATCTGGTTTGTGATGCGTAACGGGAAAAATGTTGAATCTTCATCGTAAAATTGAATGGAAAGACCCGATTAAGATGAGAAATGCGTGGATGAATCGCAGTTAATGATTAATTTTTGTAAAAAATAAAAAAAATAACATAGATAGTAAAAAATAAATAAAACATGTTTAGTCGGCGTCTTATTGAGACAGCGAAGATTACGCGCGACGTTCGCAAGTTAAAAACTGCTATTTCACTTCCAAGAAAAATTCAATCAGAATTTTTATCAACGTATCGCATTAAAGTATGTATACCGAAGCTTCAAATATCAGAGGTACACTGACGTAATTGCCTGGAGACGAAGTGAATTGCACAGAAATAAGAGACTGTGCGGAACAATTTGAGTTGCTAACTCGGAAACTGTGACACGTTGAATGCGTTTTGCTTCGGAGAATCTATATTCATTCTCGTTATAGCTTCATTTTCATAAAGAACGTTACATCGCTTCAATTGGCATTGTTTTCCCGTTGTAATGAAATTGAATGTAAATTCAATGGCTAGGTACTTCTCTTTCAATGCGACATTGATTGTTCTTCTCGGTATCTTCACGCCATCTGTGAAATCTTGATAGAATTATAATTCAAAAATTATGTTAGAAAAAATAGATAGTTATTTTGAAGCATGGCCATCCACGCTGTCATGACTCAACATTAGACATAAATATCTACATTCACATATATTGCGTGTTTCAAAAATATTTGTGGCACGTACTCAACTTTTTTCCTTCTTCAAAATAAAAATTGTGTCACCATTCGTCATTGTGTTTATGCAAATGCAGCCGTTAGAAAAAAATGTGCGCTGGAATCACGCGAAAATTCAATTGAAAATAATTGCATAGATATCAAAAACAGTTGCGTAATAGTGATTGGAAACTAAGAAATCCTCTGTCGCAGCAGCATTTGTTTATTCAACTGTGAAAACTCGCGTAGGTAAATCCAACCGATGTGTGCTCGCCAATTTTTTCTTTCTTTCTCGAGTTTTCTCGTGAACATTTTCTTGCAGCTAGAGCTACCCGTGATATCTTTCTACTCGAGTGAACAATCGCTGCTTCGCCAGCAAAAGCATTTTTCGAAGGCATGAGAGAAGATACGCATTTTCGTGTTTAAAAATAAAGTGCAACTCCTTTCTGCAGAGTCCTACACCCAAGCAAAGATATTTTTAATCTGGCCAGTGAGTACAGTATCAACCATTTCAAGGAGCTTCTTAAGTTTTAAAGAACACAAATTAAAAAAATATAATGGAGACTTCTGCACCCTTCTTGTGATCCGCGATGCCTGCTCGGATTATGCAGGTATGTTTGCTTGCGAATCACACTCTTTTTGAATGTGATGTCGTATACTGCCGTGCTAAGGTAAAACGCCGTATGAGCCTTTAGACGTTGCCAGATTTACTTCAATAAAACCAGAATTTTCTTGGAAAATTGGGAATAATGTTCGTCAAATTTTTCAAGCAATTTTGTTCGCTTTTTAATCTAAAATATCTGAAAATATCAAATAGAAATATGAATAACTTTTCTCAATAATATTTGTTTCAGCCGGAGAAATTTGGCAACTCTCGAATGTTCATACGGCATTCTTCCTTATTCCTTAGTATAGGAATATACGTATGATGGGGCTCAGGCCTTGTGTTGTAGGACAGTTTATAAAGAAGTTATACATCTGTTTATGCATGATTTTTAGACCTAACTTATCGATACTTTAAGGCTACAACGTCCCGGGTGAGCCCCTAAATGTGATGTTGCTGCGCAAAAATTTCTTGGATCGTATACGTAGAAAGTTTGAAACCTTTTAATTTACGCTCCTTACCCACGAAATCGTCAGAATGCAGTTCAATATAGTTAATAATAAAAAAAATGTCAATATCATTAAACTCTCACCACACACGAAATGTATTTTGCAAGGTCGGTTTCATAAGCCGAACATGGAGCGATCGAGAGTAAACTGGTAACACGGAGATACGAGTTTCATGCGCCAAACGACCTTCATGCAGCAATAATGATTTCGACGCTATTATAGTTAGCTTATTGGGAAGCCAAAGGAAAGAAGGAAATTTTAAAGATTAAAATAACTGTCGGTAATATGATTGTTAATCATTTCATGAAAAAGGTATTAATGTTTTTTGCAGAATATTGTATACTCCGTAAATTTTTCGATTTTAATCTATTTTTACAAAGCATCCGAATTCTTTGAGTTCAGGCTTCATACTCCTGTTCACAGGAGCATTCCCAGAAAAAGATAATAGATTTTAAGTAGTTAGTATCTTCGTTAGTTCCTTGTAAAACAGGACTTTTCCGTGCGTTAACGTCCGACTTGGCATGTATAATTATCATTTTTTCGCACACAGTCTGCTAAAATTCTCGGCATTAATCGAATTGAGAAAAACATTTAAAACGGTATGTTTTGACACTTTGATGATATTTCATTACCAACGCGATAGGATTGATAAATTGTTGTTGTGTGTACAATGTGGTGTAAATTTGTATACATGTTTCTCCGCTCAAAAAAGCCCTGGTAAAAATTGGCAGTAGAATCTGTGTTCAAAAATACCATCGACCTACAGCCGGCTGTAAGATTTCTAATAGCTTCTATAGCCGGCTACACGATTTCTTATAGCCTTTTATAGCCGATGGTGATTAAGCAACAGCCAGGCGATAAAGTGTATGCTAAACGTTTCTAATTACGGATGCTGGGACTTATTGTTAGTGCACGGAGAAAAAAACTTCGTGCGTGGGACCCGAAGTTTAGGTCATATGGATCTCTGAAGTTTTCGGATTGAGCATCTGAGCACTTTAGGTCCAGCTGCTGAGGTTTGGATCACACATCTGAAACTTCAGTTCTTACATCTGAAGTACTTCGGTTTTCACATCCGAAAAACTTCGGTTCTCACATCCGAAAACTTCGGTTCTCACATCTGAAGTACTTCAGATGTAAGAACTGAAGTTTCAGATGTGTGATCCAAACCTCAGCAGCTGNGCGCGAAACACGCATTGGCGCCTACAAACCTAACAGGGATACTTCACGCGTTGCGGAATGCGTGAAGTATCCCTGTTAGGTTTGTAGGCGCCAATACGTCGCCGCTCCGCTTAGTGTTAGGCTCTAATAATTAATCTGGCGGAGTCAGCGTTATTCAACTCATGATTATGAAATGTTTGCACATCCTGTATGGATTATTCTCATTTTAATTGATGAAAAAAATATGCATTGAAGGAAAATATAATGTATGTTTTGTAAATATTAAGGTGGTTCCGTATTAAAATTAATGATTTCCAAAGCACACGAATTTCTACACAATTTTTTATAGCCTTTTATAATCGATGGCGAAAAAGCAACAGCTAGGCGATAAAGTGTAAATCCCGGCAATATGAACTATAGCCCGGCTGCATCATTTTTTATCGCATCGTATAGCCCGGCCGTATGATTTTCTCCGCATTCTACAGCCAGCTATATGACTTTCTGTAGCCTTCTTTAGCCGGCTATAAGAATTCCTATGGTATTTTGAACGCAGCTCTTATCGCCAATTTTTACCAGGGGGAAAATAATATTTGAGCCTTCGCTTTAATTTTGCTCATCTGTGTTCAATTCTTAAAACCGGAGATTAAAAAAAAAAAAAAAAAAAAAAAAAAAAAAAAAAAAAAAAAAAAAAAAAAAAAAAAAAAAAANAAAAAAAAAAAAAAAAAAAAAAAAAAAAAAAAAAACCATAATACGGTTTAATTGTAACTACTACGAAAGGCATCGTGTCGCGCCGCGAAGTTGATGGTAACGCAACGCCTGGATGCAACTATTCGTCCTCAATGGATGTCCATGTTGCATATTCAAGGCATTGAAGGGGTTCTGGCTTTCCTATCCTCAAAGCAATGCGTTTAGTGTGCCGCTGTGCTGCTATAGTACACTTCAAATCAAATTCACCAGGGTTCATGGTCCTCTCCAAATTACCTTTCTACTGAGTGAATTTTCCCGTCGAAAAATAAGACTTTACAGAGTGAATTTTCAAAATTATCTGGGCATTACTTGAATTTCCTCCTATTATAACTGAAATGTGCCGAAATTGCCCCCCGTGCGCCCCGTGTTCAAGGTTTTTACTCGAGAGGCTTATTTTTAAATGATATTTCTCACAACATTGAATTCCATATTTTTTCCAGTTTACCTACAGGAATAACTGAATCGGTGAGAACGAAAACACACCAACTCGAAAAAATGAAAATAATCGAGACACACACAAAACTGCATAGTAGATGAAGAAGTTAGTCCGAGAAAAAGATTTTTGGTGCCTAAAAGCAAGTACTGGAGGACACTTTAAATGTCCAACTTGGAACAGATACGGTAACTTCAATGACTTTTATGAAAATTGTCTGTTTTTAGTGAAAAGTGAGTATTTTCAAGTTACCGAGTTGGTGTGTTTTCGTTCTCACTGATTCAACTTAAGGCGTTACTACGATAGCTTTTCTCTGAGACTTCAGCGACACTTCAGACGTCAAGTTTTTTGGCAACTAAGTCATGGGACTGATATATGCTTAAAATATATATACGTACAGCAATTTTGGTAAACGGAGAATTCCATTTGTATCATTTTCAAATCAATAATATGTTATCATTCTTGTGTGTTTCAGAGTATCCTCAAAGGGAAATCGCACACGGGTAAGAAACACACCGTGAGTTTCCTGCCGGAGGAGTTCGAAGTCATCGGCTATGGCGGCGACGAGTACTCGTCGGACGAGGAGGACGGCTTCTTCGAGTCCTCCAACGACGACTGCGACATCATCTTCCCGGACGGCGAAGACGAGAAAGAACTCCAGAAGCTCACAAGGATCAACACCGACTTCAACTCGGTCACGGCCAACCTGGACGAGAAGAACGACAAGAAAACCAAGAAGATCCAACCTCTAGAACTCGGCAAACCTCTGACGGACGGCGAGGGCAAGAAACAAACCCTCCTCGTCTCCGTTGAGCCTTTCGCCACCTCCCAAGCTCCACCCAAGAAGAAAGCAACCCTAATCAAATCGGCTTTCGAGAACGAGGACAAGAATAAACCGGTCGTCAACAACTCCGCACCTTACACCAACTCGATAGCTTCGTCCAGGAAGACGCATCTGTTCAAATTACTCGACACGAACGACGCCGCTGTGACGCAGAACAACACGACGGTCACGAATCGGGTGGCGGAGAACAACCTCACCAACCTGATCCTGAACCACGCTCTGAGTCAGAAAGGTAGCGAGGACAAGGTCTATTCGAGCAACATCGAGGTGACCTCCGGAGATGTCTACTTGGAGCCGATCGCGAGCGAGGAGATCTCGCCTCCACCGCCGGCGCCCTTCAATTCCGCCTCCACGAAAGAGCAGGAGAACTGCACCAACGTGGAGGTCGTCCCCGGGGAGCCGGAGAAACCCTCGGACGTCGTCAAGATGCAGGTGATGCTGGAGGACAAGTTCCCGACGCCTCCGACGCCACCCCCGATGCAGGAGAACGGGGGAGACGTGGTTCTGCACCCGATCGACGTCGCCAAAACGATCGACGAGAACGTCGAAGATAGTCAAACCAACGTCCATGTCAAAAGCAACCTGCGGATCAGCCTGGACGAGCTCAAGGAGAGCCCCGCGGCGCACCGAGGGACCAACCGGAAGACGCAGATCACCAGAGGCACCATCCTGACCAAGGTCCACGAGCCGATCCGGACCAAGAAGTTCCTCCACCTGTCCGCCGTGGACATCACGGACGACTCCGCGCACGCTGAAAAGACTGATAAACATTTGCTCAAGGATAGTGAGAATAGACTGGCTATGTACAAAAACGAAGAGGTTAAACCGGTGGACTCGGTGGTGTCGAAGAACGCGAAGAACTCTTCCGACTCGCCGAAGACCACGCTCAAAGAGAGCTTCGCGAGCGAGGTGGCTGTGACTATGAACGGGACGGAGCCGACTGTCGGACGAGAGAACCCCATTCAACTCCCGCTCATCATCAACTCTAGCTATAGTAAGATCAACGCGGCTACCAGGGAGAAGCATGATGAGGATGTTCGGACGAACCACTCGCACGTGCAGAACGGTGGCAAGCCGGACTCGTTGGATTTGAGTGGGACCAACCTGGAGTTGGAGAGTCGGGAGCTGGCTGGTGAGCCGGACGGAAGGGCGGATTCCGACGAGTCTTCGGAAACGACCGCGTCTCCGTACGTCTCCATTTCGGCCACCTCCCCTCCCGCCAACCCCAGGTCCTCCTTCTTGCACGGTTTCACCAAGGACAAACCGAAGGTGGCCGTCAGACCGACTTCTTTCTCGCTCCACCATCACGCGGAACCCTTGACCGCCCTCTGCGAGCAATTCGTCACGGAGCAATCGGTGAGTAGTTCTTCCGACGTTGAGAACTTTTGAAAGAATAGGGAGGAATTCCTTTCGAGGGAGAAAAATTGACGGAGCAGGGCCTTTAAATACATCATTTCTATATTAATACAGTGAAAGCTGGCTAAGTCCAATTGTGTAGGGGCTGAAGAAAAATTTAACTTGAGCTGCAATTGGACTGCATTTTGCAATTTGGACCTATAAATTCTGACTCATCTGAAAAAACACGTATGTGCATAGGGAAACGATGGTACATACGTTGTTTTTAAATCGGACTAGAATTTATAGTTCCAAACTGCAAAATGCAGTCCAATTCGTCTTCTCTTGCCGATTCTCCACCGCCTTATGGACGTGTCTAGGGACCGAAAACAAGTTTGACTTGAGCATTTGAGCGGCATTTCGTCGCAACCGTAATTCGACTTGGTGAGCTTTTACTGTATTAAAACAAGGAGCTGAAGAGAGGGATGGATGAGGCGTTTGATTTTGCCTCCTAACCACCACCACTCCCCCACCCCCTCGATCAGGCCTCCTATTCCACAGGACAAGTAAAACTATTGAAAAAAACGTTTTTGATCATAATTTGAAGCCTTTGCGTAGAATTGTGAGTTCTGCAAACCACAGCTTCAATTCTCACATACCTTCACTCCGAAATCGTTAAGAAAAATTGACAGAGCTCGCTAAAACATAGGTGGGTCAGAATAAACCCGCAAGGGAAAAAATGTTCTTGTGGAGGGGGGGGGGGATTGAAAAAAAAATAGATCTCCCTAAGAAATAGTCAAAATTATCATGGAGGCAGAAATTTCATCAAATTAAACCTAACCAATACTTAGGTCTACATCTCAAGCAGATAATTCAAAAATTAAAATTTTCTCAGCTGCTTCAACTAACCAACTCAAATAAAGTTTAAAATAATTTAGAAATACGCGTAGGAAAAGTTTAAAATCATGAGACGGTAAAAATGTTAGATATAAAATAAAAAGTATTTTCGTCAGAATATTTCAAAGTTTCAACTTAAGTAGTTACTTGGGTAGGTATGACTTATCTGTTCTAAAATAGAAATAGTAGATGAACAAGACAAACTTTTATCAAGAATGATTCAAAGAGTTACTCTTGAAGGGCCAAAATAAGTTCCTTAGGTAATACCTACAGGAGAAGTTGTGAAATAATTGAGATTTCTCCACAGAAATAAAATGTGCTGTACCTACCTAGACTTAAGAACTTTAAAATATTAAAAAACAACAAGCTGCTTCAATTCTACCAATGACATATCCTGTAATTTTAACCATGTAGTTTACCTATCACTCATCGATAAATATTTTCTTTTGCAGCTCTCTCAATCACTGGACTACCTGTCAACAGAATCATCCTTGAAAATGAAGCGCCAAGCTCCTCAACCTCCCCCAACACCGTTGACAGAGCCCAAAGTAGACCATGATTCTTCTGATCAATCACCACAGCAACTAATATACAGCCATCCTCAAAAACCAAAAAAGAACAGTTTGTCCGACTACGAAACAAAGAGAGTCTCTTTGTCTCATGATAATCTATCTTCCGATAAACCTATACCAAGTCCTATGGTTGAAAAGGCAAGAAAGATCAATGGTGCTGCAACCAAAATGCGTTTTACTCTGAAGAAGTTCTTGCGTTTTAACAGCAAAGATGAAGACAAACCAGTGGACGATGCACCTCCAACTCCTTTATCACCGAAACCTCGTCCAGAAATCATACACCCTATTGACTTGAACAAATCTGGAGTCGAGGTACTCAGAGGTGATAAAACAGCCGGAATCAATAACAAAGCTTCACCAACAGTGAGTATAAAATAATCCCAAATATCCACTAGAGTTGAAAATATTTAAGTAGAGAATATAAAGATATTATAAAATTGTCAGACTAAGTGGATTTACGAGGCACTTATTCAACATCCACAATTAGCAATCTGAAAAATACACAAATACTACAGCACTATTACTAGATTTTCACAGACGAGACACTCTAATTCATTTGGAATAAATTACACAGGCCTAAAGCCAAGATCGGGCAAAGATTTCCAATAGTTAATCGATAGAATTTTCGATGCTAAATCTGATTTTCATTTTTTTTTTCCAGGCATCCTCCAAGGATTTCCTGAGAGAAAAAATGAAGAAAAAATAAATTTCTAAATTAGAGCATTGGAGATCTACCAGAAATCACCATCAAAGACCCTTACCTACTTCATTTTGTAAAAAAAAAAAATGAAAAAATTGGGTACCTACCTTGGGTACCTCAACAATAAGCAAATGAACAACTAATATTCGGGGATTTTTTTTTTTTNTAAATCCGGCCCTGGGGGCTTTACACAACTAGAACAGTTTTAGTGTGGAAGACACGGAAAATCGATATTTTAGGTAGGTAGACATTAACGAAACAGTGAGCACAGGAATTTCGCTTGAACCCTCTTTAATATTAAAATTACTATGACCGTAATGGACACATACTGCAATAGTTGAGTTTTATGCCTCCTTCCATGTAGAAGCCCTAGTATTTCAACAAAAGTGATGGCAGGATATTTACCTTCAGAATCATTATTAGCATGTCTGGGTACCTACCAGTCAAAAAAATCAATCATTTTTTGTTTACAGATTCCAATGGATGTTGGAACACCAAAGAAAAATGGAGCTCCAGCTTCAGGTAAATATTCTTTTCTACTAAAAATTTTCGATTCTGAGAAGGGTTATTGAATCTTGCAGCGGTATTTTAGGATTAGCGCGTTAAAGGAGAGAACATTGTCCATCCTGTTGTGACAGTTTACTGTAGTCCTTTTTTTTTAAATTTCAAAATAATGCAATTTGAATCAACAGATCCAAAATAATGTGTCAGTCATTTGTGCTCAATACATTTCACAAACTCTCATTTTGTTGTGCGATCGTGTATAGGGTGCTTGCAGGACCGGATTAAGGGGGTGGCCACATGGACCGCTGCCTATGGCGGCAAAATTAGGGGGCGGCAAATTTTAAAATTTTTTAAATGCAGGTACAAAAAAATCGGATTCAGAAAAAAATTACAAACAAGAAAAGGTGACAAAATCTCTCATTTCCTGAGAGTTCATTAATTTCTAATTTTGTCGTATTTCGGTGATTCAAAAGACTGCGCACCTTTAATTAGTTGAGTTAAGAGAGAAACCAAACACGTAATTTGGCCTGAAGCGGCGCGGCGCAAAGAATTCATGACGAGGACTTGAGATGAAAAGGAGAAACCCTCGACGCGGCGGTCGGCATGTAACACATATTAGCGCCTACGAGACTGCATGAATACTTCACGCATTGCGTCAAACACAGTACGGTCAACAGCGGTCGGCGCGGCGTGAAACGCACAGTGCCTACAAGACTACATGAATACTTCACGCATTGCGCCAAACACAGTGTGGTCATGCACGGCGGCGGAAGTTAAAATTATTAAACCACATTTATTTTTGTTCTTTTTTAATTTTTTAGTTCATTTCTTACAAATGAAAGACCTTGTCCCCACAGAGATAGGTTTACGGAACGGGAACTGAACTTTCGCTTGAAGTTCCGTGAACTTTTGCTAGTAGTGTTGACAGAGCTTACGCAAAAAATGTGTCCAACACGAGTGAACGTGTCTTATGTACCCTTCTCCCTCCAGCACGTTGACCAGATGGTTTTTATTGATGTTTCAAAATGAATGAGAAGAGGGCGGCAAAATACAGACGGCCCATGGGCGGCAAGTAGGTAAATCCGGCCATGGGTGCTTGAAAGCTTTTGACGCCACTTTCACAGATTGCTTGAACCCTCTCACGGCTATTTTCTTAGTTCACAAACTCTCTTATGTATGCAGATTTGGAAAAATGATTGGTTAAAGTTTTTAGGAATTAAAAAATATATTTTTTACATTTGATAATTTATTGGGGACTGGATTTTGAATTTACCTCTCATATTTGGCGAGGCAATTTAAAACTTCCATGAAAATTTATGGGGGTTGGTTTGATTTCAGATCAAGATTGGTTGTTTATTTTCATTTTATTATTTTGCTTTTCAGAGTTAATTTGTACTTCTTGCCTCAATATTTAACTTTGATTTCTTTTTTGATTTTAGGTCGGCCTTCAAAACCGCCCCCTCCCCCTCGCAATCCATCAACAACAGTCAGACCGGCCCGACCTCCTCCTCCAGAAACAAATGGGACAGTTTATGCTAATATTGGTGGGTGCTTCTTTCTTTTACTTTAAAGCCCTTTAAATTGTTTTTAGAGAGTCAGTTTAGGAAGCTGCTATTTTTATCATTACTAGACATTTCATAAGACTGTTTGAAAGGGCTTTTAAGAGCATGACTAGGGTCAAGAAATATTTCAAAATTACCAATTCATATTGACAATTATTTCCACTTCCACAGTCTTCACCATAAATCATGAAAATTCTTACCAGGGACTTAAGTAAAGTGATTAAGTACATAGACTATTATTTTTTCTTCTTGCACTACAAAATTTCTAACTTTAAGAAATTCTCCTTTTTCCAATTTTTTTAGGTGAACCTCGCCAAAACATTGCACCAACAAAACCGCAAAGGACTGCCAGTATTAAAAGAGAACACAGTGTGGACTATGAACCAATGCAAAACAAAAAATTGGTAAGTTGGATGGAAATCTTTTCAGATTGTTTTTACAACTTTTCTAATTGCCTCAATCATTGATTAGTTTAGTCCATAAATTTTAGTCCATTAATTTTGTCCATTAAAATTTAGTCCATATGAAGCATGGGTACATTGATTTCCTAATTGATTTCAAAAAGTTTTATAGTTGATTGTATTCTTTGTAAAATTTAGTTACCGGATTATGTTGTGATCAGCATTTAAACTTTGTCACTGCCTAGTGAACTCTTTTGGGCTCTTACCAATATTAAGATATTCTGCTTTGAATGTAGCAAGTTAAAAGTTGGAATTCTTCTAGAACTATATATTTTAAAATTTCTTGCAAAACAACAACAATTCTTTTACAGAATTGATCCATTTCCATTCATTTCTACTATACCTGACAAGACCAGGATTAGAATACTTAATAATCTTAGAGGATCCTGCACAAAATATGACTTAGGTAATATTTTTCTCTTTTCTTTTTTAGTCTTGGTATGAGAAGGAGAATATATACGAGCCAATCACTGTTACGAATGGAATGTTTGACACGCGACTGAATAACAATCATGTGAAATCGTTTGAACAAGAATCTAAAGTCATCAGTAAACCATCAGAGGACACAATGAAAAGTAACTCTCTTCGTCTCAGCACCAAGGAGAACTCTATCAAAGTGGAGCCACCGTTTAATGTGCAAAATTCTCATGACTCGGACAATGATGTTTACTATCCATACTGCTTTTTTTCAACAGAGGATGTAAGTTATTTTTACGCATTAAATTATCATTAATTTTTTCAAAATTTGGGAAATAAAATATTTTGGTAAGAAAAAAAAATAATACAATGTCTAACCCGTGAACATAAAAGCTGCCTCAGATTTATGTTTCAAAAACTGACCGGAAACCTGGTCGGATTTTGAATAATTGTACTAAGTTAACTTCAAGATAATTTTCAAAGAGCTTCCAAAGAATGATGTACTTATCTTAAGGTGTCGAAAACGATTTATAAAAGCAAGCCCTACTTAAACCTGTACATGGACCTTGAAAAAAAGGAAAGCCTCCATTCATAAAGAGATTATTGACGAAATAATTTAAAGAATTTGGTAAATGCAAAACAATTTTCATCTCTACAATTGTTGAACCCCATTACATTTATAACTTATTTGGCCCATTTTGTAATTGTCCTAGAATAATGAAGATGACCACGAGAAGAGAAAAGCAAGACTGCGTCTCAGAAAAGGAAGAAGTGTTGTGCACAAAAGCCTTGAAGATAATTATGGCGCTGTGATAATAGCCAATCATGAAGCTCTTGCACAAGTTCTAGATCAGGTACATTTATAAAACTCATTTAATTTTTATTCCTCATTTTTCATGTGCCTTTACCTCCTTTTTCCCCCCCATCATTTTGTTTCATTTATTCTACTGGAAAGTACTAACTTCATTTGAGCATCTGCTATAGCTACAACTTTGACTTGAAAAAATCATTAGTTATTGCTAGCTTTACAATATTGATAATCATCTCAGAAAACATAATGTAAAAAATAATTCCTAAATGCAGGCACACTACAAAAAAAACCATTAGAAACATTCACTTGAACAAATGCTCTTAGTTTAATTTTTTTTGTTTTTTTTTTTTCAGCTTCAACTCAATCCTGTTGTACCGCCTCATTTTCGAAGCCTATCGGCTTCAAGTAAGATTCGATGGAGTGACTTTTCAAACATTGATATCACTAAAAGGAAGATCTTGGCTGACCGAATATTTTACTCCGCTGAATGGAATTCTCACCCCGTCACACTATGTATATCACAGCTCCAACACTCGCCATGTACCTTACCTCAACTCTACACCTTATCACCAATAACTGAGTTCACTGATTTTGTATCTGCAGAGTATCTGACCACCAACAAAATACTGAACTCCGAGCAAGGTTTGTTGAACTTCGATTTCAATTTGCAACAAGAGGTTGTTATTTTCTGCAACACTTAATGTTTTCCAAAGAGACTGAACAAGACTAGGCTTTATTTAAAGAACTTAAATTATTGTTGAAAAATGAGATAAAGGCATCTAATGCTTTGACAGGGTCGTCTGGGAACTTGAAATATTTAGAAATGATTCTTCTGGGAAAGAAGATCCGTTTTCCTTGCTTTAGATCACCTGGAAAAAAGACCCGTTTTTCTTGCTGTAGATCACCTGAACAGTTTTGTGTTTAAGGTAAAGTTCAATTTTTAGGTTCATGAATAGACAGTTGCAACCACATAACTTTAGAATCATAATGAACACATTTAAAGCTGTTTACTGAATTTTTAGTGGCTAATCATCAATTCGTAATAAGTCCATAACATTGAACTAAGGCTTAAATGAAAATACCATCACATGAAGATCTTTATTTTATCTCTTGCTACATACATCTTCATTGTCTTTACTTAATAGCATTCTCTGTAAAGACGTTAATAGCCTGTGACGCTGAATGTCTTAAAATATATTAACTAACTAACTAACTGTACTTAAACCTGCTCTCTGCTCCTACAGTAATTGAACCTCTTATGTCCTCCTCTTTGTTACCTGCATTTCACATTAGCTGTCACTGACGTGTGTGTAAAAGACATTCTTATATTTATGATTTGGATTTTAGTGGCCGTTGCTGTCCTGAGCTCTCAATTCTTTGACTCTCTGGCAAGCTACTGCAACTTGAAGCCAGCAACTCAAACTGAAAAGGATATTGGCTTAATAGTGATTCAACTAGTGAACGTTCTCAAGTGTCTCCAAACCTGCGACCAAATAGACATTTCCATGCAAGAACTTGTTTTGTGCAGGGAAGAAGAGGGAAATGTCCCAAGGCTTTGTGTAGCACCGATTTCCACTGACTCGCCGATCCTCAAAGAAAAGGTATCCATTTACTTTTGTTTCTTGCAAAAACATTGTTCAAAAAAGATTCTTCTTTTTCTCTTTTTTAGCCAAAAAATCACGTTCTCCTAACTTTTCCCTGTCTCAAGACTTCTCGATTTCCCTGTCTGAAACAATCCTTGCCAAGTAAGGGAGAAAACATTGATTTGTTGTCTAGTTATTCAAAATTTAATCGAGTCTACTTGGCTATTATTCAGTTCATTATTAATTACCTTATTGCTAATTACTTCCACATGTTTAAGGGAATTACTCGTACATTTTTGTTTGATTGTTGAGCCAAACTGACACATATGAGTATGGCTCATTAAAAAGGGACTTATGAAACAGGTGATTTTAGACACATAACTCATGCAAAGGCATTGGTATTCAGATTAAAACTGCAGAAAAAGAACTGACATGATTATCAGCGTGACTCCTGTGTTCGTTGGCATGAATGACACTGCAAGGCTGTATTTTTCAATTTTTTGTCCTCTAGGGGAAAGAACGCATAACTTTGTGCCAAGCAATGGTTGCTGGGACTGAAATGTTGTTACCATCATCTCCACTGTCAGAAGTGCTGAAGTTTGTCTTGAAAGATGAACATGCTTCTTCCCTATCACAAGCAAAAGCTCTAGTCGAATTTTGGTTGTGGGGTCCTGCAGATACATCTCTAACAGAAGATCGCCAAGCGGCTTTGCAAAGGTACTAATGATTAACACGCTGAATTTTTAACATTATAATCTGCCACCAAACTGAAGAGAAGAGGGTTTTAACCCTATGAGTCGTCCCAAGAACTAATAATTCCAAGCTATAAAAGAATTTTCAGATTCCTTTTTATTTGATTGAAAAATTGAGAGGAAAATAGGCTGTTAAAAAGGACATGTGTTATGACCAGCCAATAGCCATGATTCAGTCAATAAATTCTTTAATGTTTTTTTTTTCTTCTTTTCTTTTCTATTTTTCCAAAAGCTATTTATGGTCATCATTTGCAGTTCTAAATTTTTAAAAAGAATGCTTGTAAGTTTTCTTGGTTTTCCTTACTTTTTAAAGTACGGTTTTTTTTAAAATTTTTTTTTTCCTTTTTGTTACAGTCTGACTCATTTTCATATAGGGTCAAGAGGAAGAAAAAGTTTAACTCCATCTATCTCATAGCTCCAAATAACGCCTTTTATCAAATGTGAATTAAAGTAATATATATTTTTTTTTTTTCAGATGGCTTGACTTGGAGCGAGCGACAGTCTTACATGGTTTGGTAATTTCTCGAAATCCTCAAGTTTCTCTAATGGAACACTGCCATCTCATGTTCCTGGTTCGAACTAATGCAAAAATAATGGCAGATTCTTCTTACTTGTTGGAGACGTACAACAAGAAGTAAAGCAAATACTTAAATTTAAATGCTAACTCTGCTCAACACAGTCATTTTGAAATGGGAGACTGATTGAATAACTGTTAAAAACTAGAAACCATCTATCATGGGAAGCATCCAAGAAATCTTTTAAAAAAGTTCATTAAATTTTGTTAAAGATATGTGTTTAACGCCTTTAACAATCAATGTATCCTGACCAGCCAACAGAAGTTCAGGCACTATTTTAACAGTTAGGATTATAACAACCAACATATCATACCTTATCTTTATTCTTCCCCTTTTATCTTGTTTCCTGCCATGAACTCTGTAGTGCATTAATTGCAATAATTATGAAGTTAGAAAACCATGCTCATAAGATTCAAGTGACTTGCGAACTGGGCGTCAATTTTCAAGTCATGGGAACTTCGAATTGTGAACTGTTGATTTGTTTTCAGTTGTAATTGTAAAAAGTGTATAAACTGTAAAAAATTGAAATTTTAATTGTAAATTAATTGCTCATGATCAAACTGTGGTAATAGAATTTGAAAAATAGTCTCTTGATATTATCTAGAATCAGAGCTGAAGCATGAAAATTTGAGATGATTGCATGAAGGATTACATCAGTCCTCACTAATTAAGGATATGCGATAAGTGAAGAACTGAACATTAAATCCTTCATTTTCAGAGAGAATGGATCAAACCAGATAGCATGTCATACTACATGGACACATTTGTTTCTCCTTTATAAAATTTTGTTACTGATTGTTAAATAAATTTTTATAGTCTATTTATTTTGGCAAATTTCTTTCCTGATTTTACCTCTATACTTGTAACTACATTTTTATTTGGTGATGACAGTAAAATTTAATGCAATAAGGATAGGCAAAAACTCAACGATATTTTAAAGATCAAAAACTTTGTACTTTGACAGATGGAATTTCGCTCATACATAAAACGTTGAAGGATTCACAAAAATCTCAATGAAGATCAAACCTTACTAACATCAGAAATTAAAAAAATATGGACAGATACTGGAAAGTTAAGTTGTAAACTTGTACAATAAAAATACAAACGGTTGGATTTTGGCTTGGAACCTAAGAGGGGTTCGAAGTAGACTATGTTCATGTAGGTTGCTTTTGCCCTTTAATGATGCCTGAGGAATGAGTTCCTTGCATGCTTTCAACTGGGGTTTTGCTCATCAGTATACTTCCTTGAGACAATGCTTTTCAGTATACTTCATTAAGACAATGCTTTTGGTTTCAAGTTTTAACAAATTACGCTCTTAGTCCTCTCATTTTGCATTCAAAAAACACAATTGTTAGCACCTGAGGCACCCACCACAGCTGACAAAGTAGAGTCAGCATGCGCCTAAAATACGATTATTTTCTTCATCTTCTTATCTCCTGCTCTCAGAAGGCACAATTTTCTATTTTTTTTTTTCTAATCTCTTGCTCTTAAAAGGCACAATTTCCTATTATACGTGAATTGAAGGATAATTTTACGGTTTCTAATTAGATACTAATTTTTGCCTAAGCAAAGAGTCAAGAATTAAGGCAGCGACTGCTGAAATAATGCATGAGAGAGAATTCAAAAACAAAGGCAGGAATGTAATTGCAAATGCTGAGATGGTGCAACTGCTATTGTTTTTCTTTGTCAATCCTAAAGTAATCATCTTTAAATGTATTCCTTTAAAATTGTTCAATTTTATGAGGTAATTTCCCTGAATATTTTGTGGAAAGTATAATGTTTTGATGTTTTTGAGAAAAGTTGCTGCTGGAGTGAAGAAAGGAAAAGTTGCTTAATTTAAGTAATATTACATCGAAATGTTCAATTTTACCAAATAATCCGCCATGAGAAGGATGTGTCAGAACCTTTAAAAAATTAGAATTGGCGGAATAATGAAAATGAATGCTATGCATGGGTCAGACATGTGTATAAACATGGCAAATATTATTATTAGTGCGAAAAATATTGGATACCAATCAACACAAAAAACTTAAGGGGAAGAAAACAAAAACCTTCAAACCTTCTCCCCAAAAATGTACGCATCAAATATGAAATAACTATTTCTAGCACATGTGTGATGAGTTTGATAAATCATAAAAGTGAGAGAAATATTTTCAAGTTGCTGCCTTGTTCGGCATAAAAATAAAGAGAGTTGGATTGCATGAAGAAAATTAAACAGAAATGAAATTGCTATGACACTGGTTTTGTGCAATTTGTCAGTCATGGAGAAGGTTAGCCTTTTTTCTCTTATCGATTAACCTGAGTGAAAAAATATACAAAACTTAAAAAGGTGGGCAAATTGACATTCTAATATTTCTCTTCCCCACTTCGCAGAAACAAAGATACTGTTAAAAGGGTTGTTTGGCAATCAAAAGGTGATTGTAGCTGTAGTTCTTCATCAATATGAAAGATGCAACATAAAGAGGCATTTTCTTTCTTTCATATTTTAATTAATCAATCACCTAGTAGTAGGTATTTTGGCATCAACTCATGAGATGTAAGAGCATGGCAATATGAAACTTTTTGAACTGCTATCACTCAACTTTTTAGACCTACACATTGATTTTATTAATTAAAAAAATCCAATTCCCTGCCACAATGCTCACACACCTCTTTTTACCACAGACAACAATGCTGAAACCACTAAAAAAGTAAAGAAAATAAGATACATGCATTTTGTACTTCTGGTGGTTAAAGATAGTGATGAGATGGTGAAAAGTGATAAGATGAAACTAGCCTTTTTCTTTCATACAAACAATTTGACTCCTTATTCCGTTCTTCCGTTGTTCAAAGAAACGAGAAAATTTCATCGTTCCTTGGTTTCTGCAATATGGGATTATAGAGATGGGTAATATTCAAATGTTGAGTGATGTGCATAAGAGGTTCATCCAAAAAATAAAATTCCTTTTGTATTATCTTTCGAACATGATAAAATACATCAAGACTGAAAAAAGATAAGAGATACATTCTTCCTTTTAAAGTTGAGAGAAAAATACTCTAACTTTAAAAACGAGCTCAAGATTTTCAGAATCCACCACAGGATTGATAAGAAAACTCAAACTTGTTGATGTCATGTGCTATAGCTGTGTATCTACTAACCAAGAGCCTTACGGGATTGCCCCGAAGTTTCCCATTTGCCCTTGAAAGCAAAGAGAGCTGGAGGCAAAAAAAGTTGAATTTAATTTGATCTTTGTATTCATGCTTCAATTAGATGTTTTACCTTGAAATTTCACACTAACCAACTGAAAATTGACCAACCAACACACCAAATTGAAACTGAGAATCGAAAGATCAACATAAATCAAATCTAAATTGCTTTCACTATCTTCGCTGTAAAGAACGAAATTGGGTGAAGAGAAGGTACAAAAAAGAAGTGGTCAGGCGGGCGGGGACACACGGAAAAATACCGATAAGCTGGTTGATAATTACGGTAATTTTGGACTGGGTTGTCTCCTTCAACTGTCGGAAAACGACTGAAATAGGCCTATTCAAGCACTGAGTTAGGTATCCTGCCTACTTTTATAGTCCAAGTTTGTCTCTGCTTTGGTGCAATCTCTAAGTGCACATGGGAGTGGACAGGCAGCAATGAAGAGAGATTTCACTAAAATTGAGTTTCTTCGCAAATTCTTCAATTGATTTCCAAAATTTTGTCGCATTTTAAAGCTAAGAGTATATCAGAAGTATCATTATCCAGATTTTATTTACCTTTTTTCCCTCTGAAGATAAAGACAAGGAAACTCATTTAAAGGATGACTTACACACTTCACAGTAAACTATATACTTAATATAAACTTAACTATGACTTACTCACATGAGATAACAAGTCTATGTACAAACAAGAAGGCATCCAGGTAACCAGGTATTTTCACATCATGGGTTCTGTCACCCCATAAACTCTTACAAGCTCCTGAAAATTGAAAAAAATAACTAAATTCAATCCATTCTATATGCGATTATTAATCAAGCAAATAATTGATTTAAATTACTCCAATATACATATTGAGAAACGACATTGCGTTCCTTCTTTAACATAGGAGCGAAATTGCTTTTCTAGCTAAGCTATGTTCATCATGTAGTTCCATGCTATTCAAGGCTCACATGAAAATTGAGATACCTCTTTACATTAAGGAGCAACGGAAATTGCTCTTAGTGGCACTGGATGACTTAAGAGGAAAAAATTGATTGAAACCTTAAAAATTTCATTGCCAAGAAACTGGTTGAATGCTTTGACATATTGACCGACCTATATGGATGACCCTCATTCATGCAAAAATAGAAGATAAAGAAATTTTTTAGAACTTACACGCCATTCTTTCACACTTAAGGAAGATATCATCTGTTTTTTTGGTGCTGATTCAATACCCTCAGCATTCTTCTCTGGTGTGATAGTTAGGATTCCGTGTTCATCTAAAATTACCATTGGAATAATTAGAAATCGTTTTCCTCTTTTGATGAAAGTAACACATATCACAAGATTAAAACACATGTTTACCACATAAGTCTCTTGACCTCTACCAAGAATGATCACTATTGCATGAGCTTCAGCAACCTATCAAATTGCCCATTACACTTTATTAATTCCATTTAACCATAGGCAAATGTAGACCAAAGTCAAAACATTCCATATGTATTTCACACAAAAACTTATCAGCAGACACCTATTCAGTGATCTTTGTTTCTTACAGTGGCAAAGTACTGTAATCTCTTTCTTTACTCGAATGAAATTTGCAGGAAATGCTGATGCTGGTTGTGTCAATCTACTCTTTCGTAAATTTTGAGAAAAAAATGAGTCCCTCAGTAAGCCTTGTTGCGAAATTGAACAGCAATACACATATCAGTATGTATTGAATATAAACTATAAATGCTAAATAAGTTGCTTGTTCATACTGCTGGCGGTTTTGTCTACTGTTAGAACTGAACCACCAGAAGTGGGCTAGTTTCAGTACAACTGTCTTCTAGAGCACCATGACATGTCTCCTAAGTATTTCTATTCTTATTTCTTTTTTTAATTTCAAAAACTGTTTATTACTTGCAGCAGCCTTAGTCGTATTTTGTTTGGAGGCAACACTTGTCACATGTTGTTTAAACAAGCAACAATCACATTTTGTTTAAAGTTTTTTTGGGTTGTGGGGACAGGGCTTATTTTCGTGCGCGAAACTTGGGAACCACTGAAGCCATATTGTTGTACAACAACTGCAAAGTTCTCAGAGCTAGTCGTTTTTATGTTGTTGTCCAGGACAAAGCTGTTTTCTAACCTATAATTCGAATTTGCTCTCTCATTGGTTGTTCAGAGTTGCATAAAAGAAACAAGAAAAAAAAAACAGAAACATTTTGTTGTTTCGAACAAAACACGTCTCTTGTGTCCTGAGAAAACAAAATGCTTTCTCCAAGTTTTGTCCTTGGCAGGGAGTGCAAATACTGTACATTGACGGTGTGACTACAAAAATTCATTTCTCCACTGCTGCTCAAATCTGCAATGCTACGAATTGAGATATGCATTTTTGGCATTTCACTACATCATGACTTGTAATGTTGTCCTGAAGGTTGCCCTGCTGAAAGTTCAGATTAAATAAAGTTAAAAATTACTTTTGCCATAATGGCTGAAAATGATCCCACGTTGACTTACCTTTTTCCATTCTTGCAAGGCCATCTCTGATAAGAAATGAGACACGGAATATATTCTGCACTGTTTTAGAGAATTCCGTTGGATGTAGTACAAAATTAAAATATGAAATAGGATTCCTATCATTTTTTATGTATGCCTTTCTCAGAGTCTTTGAGGTTTGTTGAATAATACGGTCGATACCTTCTTCTTCCTTATCTGGAGCTTTCTCAAGCTAAAAAGAATTGAGACAATAGAGTTAGTACACACATTAAGTGGAAAATAAATATGAATAAAATCAAAGAGACAAATATTAATCAATGAGAAGGAAAACACACCAATTCAGAAAATAAACATTTTTAGCTAACACAAAAAACACAAATTTTTAAACAATTCCCTCACACGTTTTGGTTAAATTGCCTGACCAGAAAAATGTTACATACATCGATGGTGTAAGTTGGCGATGGCATAACTTGGTTTGCGACGTCGCAGACTTTCTGTCATACTTTATTTTTTTAACAGAAAACTACTCAACGGCAATTCTTTAAAACTGCCGTGATTTTTCTTCTCTGTGCAAAGAAAATTCTGCATAAACTTCAAGGAATGATGTCAATTTGTTCTCCTATAAAAAAACTAACATAGAGGCAGAGATTTCCAGACACCGCGAACGAGTTATGTGATTGCGGACTTACACTGTCGATATGCAAATTATAATTATACCAGAAGATTGAGAAGACGTAATGTGAATTAGTTTCCTTGCAAAATCTGCTGTTCGAAATGTCAGACCCAATCTGGAAAGCAAGTAAAGGTGACTCAACAATTTATTCCTGAAACTTTATTCATTTTCTCTGACATTTTCTAGTTTTTCCTGCCTGAGATAACCCTGACTCGAACTTGGTTTAAAAAAAAAAAAAGGAGAAAAAAACTACCTCACCTTTTTTTGGTATGGGTCCCGATCCCTTGACTCTGAGCTTTCTAACCTATGAATGCTCATTGAGTTAGAAAAGAATATTTACTAATAAAACTCAATTTTCCAGTGTGTTCTGTTGAGAGGCTTATACAAATAGAGCTTATGAGAAAATTTCATACCTTTATGGGAGCTTTCAACTCAGCTATGGCATCTTTTGGACGCGCTTGTCTGGGTTTCCTTTGAGTTATTTTTGGAAGATCATTGGCCTCAACGGACAAATGTCCCATTAGAGAATAGTGACCTGGGACAGGTCTCAACATTGCCCTTCCCAACTGACCAAATCGTGCCAAATCCAAACTTTCATCACTTTCATCATCTTTTCTGAAGTAATTGATCTGTAAAAGAAATGGAATCGGTAGAGGAAATTAGAATAAGAATTAGACTCTCATTGCACATAGCTTTGTTCTGGACTAATTGATCAGTGAAAAATACTTTTGTATGTTTTTCTTATAGAAGAAGCAGAGCTTCAGCATAAAAAATGAAGAAAAGAGAATTTATTCACTTGATTGGCGTCAATTTCTTTCGTGAGAGCAAATTCAGAAATTTCTCAATAGTAGATAATATAATTTTCCAAATTACAATACAGATAAAAAATAACTGGTTCAACTTTTTAGATCAGCCCGATTCAAAATGGATTTTGCTTAGAATGCACATGCCATCATAATTCCCAGTTGTAAGATTTTGAAATGAGGACATGTAGTAAAAAGATGGCAAAAAAATCATATAGTAATTTTTGAACATCAATCATCTCTTTTTTTTTTCTTTTTTTTTTTTAACTTAAAACCTGTAAAATCAGTTCATCTTGTAAGATCAGAAGTTAAAGCAGTCAGCACTATGAATCCAATGAGAACTAAGTACTTTGAGCTACAGCATGTATACTCACGATGTTTTGCTCAAATTCTTGCAGGTTGAATGATTGAGCACACCCAGCATCAAGACAACGGTCCTTTATAATTTTTCCGATTTCATTTGCGAGAGTGAAGTCTGCACACAATTCACTGGATGTATAACCTGCAAGGGAAAAAAACAAACAAATTAATAAGTGGAATGAATAGAAAAAAGTTGAGAGGAAACAAGGTAAATTACCAGTTTTTAGGGTAATTACCTCACTAAAAGCTCAGAATTTGAAGAGTCTATAGCCTAAAAAAATGACATATCAACAGAGCAGCATCGGTTCCAAAATTAAACTACATACACACAAACTACTTATACATAAAATTCCATGTAAGTATTTGTATTAAACCTCATTTTTGATTAAGACTCATAAAAATGCCTGCTTTCGAAATTGATAAAAAATTCAGTAAACCCAGGGTTGATTTACTTTTGGTTTGGTTGTATACATGTCATTTTTCGTAACTTTTGACTGCCAATTTTTCTATCAAAAATTAATTTTAAAATTCAAACAATAACCTACCCTCTTAATTCGTCAGGACTTAGCATCTCAAATTATTGAAAATACTTCTTCCCGCAAATTTTGTGGGGTATTTCTTCGAAAATGAAAGTGCGACAAAAAACAAAAACTGGAGTCCCAGAAGAAAAAGCCAAAGTGGACACTTTTCTTTCCTCCTCAAATTTTATAAAAACCAATCAATTAGAGTGATTTTGAACATGAATGCAAAATTTCAAGTCTCTGTTGTGATTAAAACTGGTGTGATTAACTTTTTCCAAGGCATCCATTCCTTGTGTGTTGTCAGTCACTTGCTGCTGCTAGGGGATGGGATTAGTGGCCCGGTTCTGACACATGCAGGCAGTAAATTGCCAAAACGGTTTTCTCCTTGTTTTTAAAATAGGTAAATGTGTTAAAAAAAAGAAAAAAAAAACTTTTTACATTAGCCCTATGGAGATTGGTGCTCCTCAATTGATGCTTGAGATATGTTGGCAGGAAGATGACGATGTAATAATGGACAGCTTTTATTGATACAATTAACAGCTTTGCATATTTTATTTTTTATCTTTTCCTTTTTTTTTTTTTTTGGATTCTGTTAGTGTATTTTCATTTCTCTTTTGCATGGACCTTTCTGCATTAGAGAAATTTTCAAAAAGCAATGTCCGGAATATCAAGAAGTTTAGAGGCAAAAATAGGTTCAGGAGGACTTGAAAATTAATTACTTACATTAAACTATACCTAGCTTAGAATTCTTAATAGTATATAATCTGGTTGATAGAAATAAATGGAAAAACTAAACTTACGCTTTTCCGCATTATCCGAGAGACTTTGCATCTCATCAATCATTCTCCCCATCTTTTGCATACATTCATCTGGAGGCATGTCTTCGGAATCTCCTAAAAGAAAAGATATAAGTTAGAGTAAAATTACAGGTGCTGGATGTGCTACTTATGTGCTTGATATGCTACTTATGTGCTTGATGACAAAGATTTCTCAGAGGGTACAGCTCTCCTTTACTTAGAATTACTTTTATCAAGGTCTAGAGCTTCCCCAAAAAGTAGAGTTAGATGTGCGTTGATTTGGGGGGGGGGGTAACAGTATATGATAATACTTTTTGGACAACTCTAATCACAGGGTGTATCAATGGACCAAAACAACAGAAAGGAGAATAATAGCAAAAATCAGGGGTCCCTATTTATCACCGTTAAAAAAAGGTGGCCTCAACAGTTGAAAGTTTCTCAACTTAGACTGGCCGCGATATATTAATATTGGAAGTTCTCAAGTTTCCCCCGGATCTAAAAATCATCCCTAAACTTTCATTTAAACAGCATGACAAAGAAAAAGATACAGAAAGGTCTGAATAGGTCCTAGACAAGGCGACTGCTGAGCTCTGCTGTTAGGCATCCGAAAGTTGGACCCAGCACCTTGATTCATACGAATGACATACACTACATTTTTCCAGGGTTCAGCACTTCAGCGGCCATCTGATCAGCCACCTGGCAGACAGTGCCGGGTGCGGAATTTATTGGAGCAAAGCCCTACCGTGTCTCCCATCAATGCATACTGCTATCAGTGGCGCACACTATGATTGATCCAAATTTATTCACAACATAGCCAAACAGTGTATGCTGACTACTACCAGATGGACATCTCTTCCCTACCTTGTCGCCTCAAAGGGACTGACAGGGTATTAGAGTGGCATGGTCATCAATGGCAGTGATGATGGATGTTCAAGTGTCTTAAAACCTCACCACTACAGATTTGGATTTAAGCTCATCTCTCAGTTTTGATCTCCCAGTGAAGAATACACAAAATACTTACTGATGTTTTTACAGACATCCAAGCGCTCCGAGTAGTATGCAACTCGGTCGAATTCATCCATTTTGCAGGGCAAACGATTACTCACTGGCCTGGAATAAAAATGAATTATAGTATTACACTGATTGATACTTGCTAACAGTACTGAGTACTTGGCGTTCATAAAGAGCTGATCAAAGCTACGAGGCCAGTGGTATCAATGGCCGCTAATTTCAAGATTGAATTAATATCAGAGACAAAGCAAGGAAGTTTGGTATGCTGACAATGCTACATTAAGTACGAACAATAATATTGTGCTGCAACTTCGCATATTACTTGATCTGCATAATTTCTGTATAACCTGAGTTCAGAAATAGATTAATATACTGAATGAGGTAGGTGACATCCATTCGTTGCAGACTGAAAGGACTACAGCATTTCACACCTAGATGAAATTGAGAGGAAATGGCTATGGACTGACATACACACACTCACCCGAGAAAAAACTGCAATGGTTGTTCACAAGTAATAAATGAACCTTCGGAACAGTGGTACAAGAAAAGGTGAACAGAAATGTTAAGACTGAGTATTCCTCGAAGGAATCCGAACTGAGTTACGTTAATTTAAATCAACTAGAATGGAAAAATTAAGAAAACCTCTGCTCAAAAGTCGATGAAAGGCACTTCTGACAGGTTTCAACATGTATGCAATTTAATTTGGCGGCATTTAAACCTGATTAAACATAACCTTAACGAAATGATGAGTGTCGGCACTCGAAAGAAACATTCAACAAACCCACCAATGTTTATATTCGCAATGTTATGATAGTGGTTTGTGATAGTGGTGAACTGGTGATAGTGGGATTTTGATTTTTCTTCCTGAAATCATCGCTGAATCATCATACATTTGGTGTATTTCTTTTCTTTACCCCATGAATCAAAAAATATTGTGAGCAAGTGTTAATAACTATCATGTCGTAAAGATTTATCCCAGTGCATGAATCCGTACCTGTACCCTGATTCTGAGCCTTTGCTGCTCCAAACAGTATCCAACAGTTTTTTTCGAGCTCCTTTCACTCATTCAACAAACCTAATCTATAAGTCGACCGTGCAGACCGTATAACTCAAACTCAAAATGTAATCATTTGTTCCCTGGGTTTTTTTATTTATGTCTATGCCAGAATCAAAATTGACGTTTCTCTCAGAGATTAATACTTCAGACCAGTCGCTCCTCAAATGACTTTAACGATTATCTTCCTTTACTCAACCTAGCCTACTGGACAGTCATTCATGGAGAGGCTATAGCAACTCTTAAAACTGCAATGGCGTTGGTTCACCGAGCTCTGTTCACATGGTTCATCCTGTTGGTGTTTTTAATCTTTATTGTCCTGCGAATGGACTCACGAATTCAGTGGAATTGGTTTGTAATATTCACTCCATTTTGGATCTATAATACTTTTTTAATAATGTATACAGTCTTTAACATAGCGTCCTATTGTAAAATGAATTATATTTTTCGCAGAGAAATGATGTATTTGTTCCACATCATCATGCTTGTAGCATTTCAAATAATGGCAGCTTTAAAATTGGATGCCTTCATCAACATTTCTAGTTTCTACATGATGGCCCCTCTATGGTTCATCTTAACTTCCTCGGCAGTCATAGTGTTTTGCACTTTAATAGGAAAGCCAATCAGATTCTTCCGGTAATTTAAGTGTCATTCATAATTCACTCTGTTAAATCCCTCTGTCCTCTCTCAAAATTGTTTATTTGTGGTATTTTTCGCTGGCCTACCATCACTTTTTGCAAGTATGTACATACATCCAAGTCAGGCTATATAAGATTTCATTTTGAGAGTTCCACTTTTCTCATTAATGAAAGTCAGTTAATGACGCATGCTTTGTATTTTTGGGCTTGCTGTTTTCCGCCATAAATTTGTCATCATTACCATACGCAGCAGACATTACCAGAAGTTACAGTCATTACTGTCTGAACAATGATGGATATTCCAAGTTTGCACCATCAGATAATTATTAAAGGCAGGAGCTGACTCCCTGAAAAAAATTGTTGTGACAGCAAAGTAAAATCTTGTTTGGACGTACCCATTCAGCATAAAAAATATCATGATAAAAAGGAAAAGAGATCAATAGACTGATTTTTAGCTTATCACATTACTTACTGTCAAAACTAGCCAGCAAGAACTGCACCTGTTTCAAGGACATAGAGTCTCTAATTTTTCATCTTTGCATGAGTTAAGTACAAATGCGCGAGGAAAGTTTGAAGTTTGATGATATAATGCAACTCTATGGCTAGTTTCATGATTACAAAGTTTATTTTCCAGTTTAGGTGAAATTTCAAGTATGTAGTTTCAGATTAGTCTCCTTAGAATCAAACTGGTCCCCATCACTTATAGGAAAAATTCTCTCTCTGTCAGTGTAAGTAATAACTACTTTAAATAAATAGAAGGTAGCCTTTTTGAAATAACTTAATATCCTCCTTTTTCCCAGCAGCTCTCTTATTTTGACTGTATGATGAGCACAAGTTTTCAGGCATTCTGACTTATCTACAGTGTTTGGCATTCCACTTCTAATATCAAAATTAGGTGTAGTGAAATCAAAGTAAATGAAAAATTTTTTTGTACAATTTGGAGTGTCCCCATCTATGTCAGTCTTTAATCTATGAAACCATGATTAAAATTCATTGACGGCAACTTCCTTTTAATTACTAACCAGGTATTAATGCCCATTTCAGATGGTCCAATTTTTCTTCTCCTTTTATTGGATGAAAAGTTGGATCAAGTGATACTGACAGGAAAACACAAGAAGTAGATGAAATGTCGGATGGGAATTTGAATCTGACATCATTCTCAACTTTCCATCCAATGGGCAACACTAATCAAATGCCAACCAATAGTATGACAATACCACTCAAAAATGGCGATTGAATTAAATATTTTTGTCTCAAACTTTCCATTTAAATTTTCGTCCATTTTTGTCCGATCAAAAAGTTGACCGTCTGAATCGAGCTTAATATGTAGAGGCAGCCCTCTCTCAGTTTAGGAATGGAATCTTCAACATAGATCATTTCATAAGTATTATTGCGTATTATAATAATTGTAAGCCTTCCAATTTGCCTTAAAGTATGGAATGTTTTACTGACTTTTCTTGTTTTGACATTGTATCAAGAAGTTTTAATATTTTGTCTTGCTAGTTTCATCATAACCTTGTCTCTTTGAGTACTCTATCCTCCAAAAAGGGTAGCTCTGCAAATTTTGCAGCCCATTTTGTTTTGTATTGTTATTCTAATGCACGAAGCCATCAATTCTGAAGAGGGGAGAAGATAGAGGTCATTTAAAAGCCATTAGAATGTAAACATTATCAGCTTTAAAAGGATTCCTCACTTCTTTGTGTACCTTTTTACCTCCAAACTTTTTTGCAAGACAACATGTTGGTAATTCTTCCTAAAACATGACTGCACCATCTCAAAATTAACAATTTAATGTAACTTGTGAACTAAGCCTACTCAATCATTATGCTTCTCTATTAATACCCTCTCGCTCAGAAAATGTTTCATTATTACACATACATTTACTGACATGCAAGATTTACTTTCTGCATGACCTTACATGTATGAGTACCTAGTAATGTTAAGTCAAAAGTATTTTTCCAAATTAAATTCTTGATGCTGTAAATTTTCATATAGAAAGTAAATTAAATCAGTCATTACTCATCAGATCTTTTTTAATGAGGAAATTTCCAAAACCAGCAAATTCTGGAGGTTTTTTAATTTATTTTAAAGTAATCTAATTTACCCTTCCTGTACATAAAGTTTTTTTACTTTTTCGTTTTAGTGGTTAGTTTTAGTGGATAATTGTGATTTTTAGAGGTGATCTTTTATCTTGTGTTCTGAAAGGCTCCTCATGTTGAATTTAATAAAATTGTTTTATTTTTTACAAAAGAGAGATGACTTTTTTTTCAGCAGGTCCTCTTTAGTAACCATTGATTTCAATGCATGTTCATTCAATTGCATTTCATGACAGTTGCTTATGATTTGCAGGGAATGTTCATAAAAAATGGTAACTAAAACACATGGAATAAAAGTAGATTCTGTTCATCAATAACAATTGAGTATAGGTAGAATTAGACGGGATCTTGTCTTAACTAATTTTTTATTGGCTGAAGCCCTGTTTCCAACTCTAAAGACTACATCTACCAATATGAGATTAACTTTTGGTCTGTTCAATTCATAATTAACATCATGAAACATCATGGACATGTTCACCTGCTTAATCACACATGAACAAGTAAATAATTTTAATCTTTACCTGAATTCCTGACAGTTTTCGATTTCAAGAACTTATGAGCTTTAAATTTTAAAAATACATAAGCACTCTCTTACATCGGTTAAAGGGAACTTTAAATTCCTGATTACTCATTATTCACACCTATGAGGAAGAGTGCATCAATTGTAAATTAGAAGAATCAGTCCAGACACTAATGCTCACATGAACTTATTGAAGTCGCAAATTATCCACATTGGATGTTAGGCTAGAAAACAGAGCTAAGAATAAGACACACAGAGGACTTTATCAAAATACTATGTACTTCAGTAGTCAAACTTGTACAAAGGTGGAACGGTTTTTGGCTAACAATAAATACTTACATCAATAACAATTTCAGAGTTTTGTAGGTACAGTGATAGGTTGAGAAATCAAAACATATAAGTTAATGTTCATTTTTTCTGCTTGGGTGCAAATTCAAGGCCCCTCAGTTGATGTAAAGGAATCTTGTACTTTCCTGAAAGAAGAAAAAATTTGGATGTTAACATTTTATTCAAAGTGAATATCAGGCCATACCTCAGTTGCACTGGCTTAAAATTTTTTTGCATCGTCCAGATAAAAAATCAACCGACTTCTTGGCATGAAATTTTGAGAGAACACCTTTCTCTAATCAAAAATGGCGCAAAAAAAATCATGCACACAAGTATGGGCAGAAGATGCTAACACATAAAAGTTCAAATTTCATTGTTGACGTACGCAATTATTTGGTTTGTACTTTTGTTCTTGACAACAAGGAGAGGAGACTTTTCCCTTACCCTTGAACCCCTACTTAAGCTGCATATTGCAGTGAAAATATTAAAATAATTTTCCAAATTAAAGAGCATTAAAATTGCAATATTTTGACATCATTTGGTCGGTGAGTACCGATTTTAAACATTCAATAAGATAAGTTCCACGGGTGAGAAAGGTAGGCAATTTACAACGCAGAGAAAAATTGCAAATTTTTTTCAATATTAATGCAATAAATTTCAATGAAAGGAGCCCCTTCAATTAGTGAGTAAACAACATAGCATACACAGTACTCCCCGTGCTTTACTCCCATAAAGCAATGATTTTACCGTGTAATTGCATTTTATTCTAACCTGAGCTACTTGAGTAATAGGGTAACTGTTGACAATAAATAACAATCCGCCTGTAGCAGTAGATTGTTGAAAAAATAAAATTTTTGTTGGCAGATACATACCGTCTGAAGATATGTAATTAGAAATATATTAATATAGAAATGTTTTGAGAAAAAGCGGAAGTTCCTATCGAGATTATATGAACTTTGAGGCGTTGACCAGAGATAATTTTTTATAAGTGTGCCATGGTACATCTGTAGAAATTACACTGACTAATTTCCTTGGTGATTTCCCTATCGATTTTATTTTCCAAGTACTTGCACTTTGATATCTTTGGAAGATTTTTCATGGGAAAAGAGTGACAAAATATTTTGACTTGGATCTGTCATAACATTCTTTCCTACTAGTATTCATCTAACAGACATGGTCAACAGCTTACATCCATGCAGAAATCAAATTGGAGGATCACATGGAAAAGGTAAGTAAATTGATGTATGCAAACATGCTTTTGACCAAACTATCGGCATCACCCTTTGATAAATGCCAGAATTTTTAGACCAAATGTGTCCTTACAGTAGTAACATTTATTAGTTTTCGGGGCAAGAATGGACTAACCTCTCAGTAGATCTGAGACAAAAAGTATTTGATTTCCTTGGATTTGAAGTTGAGGACATTTGTATCCAGGCACATCATTGATCGTTGTACTTGCTGCGCATCCTCGCTGACATTCTTGACTGAAGGTTTTCAAATCAATTAAATAGCATTCTAAATTGTTGACTAAGGTGACCTGCAACAGAGATTTAAGAAATTGAAATTTAAAAGGAGGGGAGGGGGGTATTATTTAGGTTGATTCTATGACATCTTGGACATTGTTTTTCATAATGCTTCCTGAATGTAAACTTAAACAATTTTTAAAACTAGCGTGGTTCCGCTTGGCCTTCCTCCAGCTACGGAATGGTTAATAAGGTAAGTATGCTTGAAGGATCACCACTTGAGGTGTTATTTACACATTTTAAAGTATGTTTTCTCATCAAAATATCAAGTAGAACACGATTGGTACAACAAGCATTACTTGAAGTGACTCCTAGTGGCTTAGAGTAGGAGGTGTAGACTGTTCTCCTGATGCTATCATATACGGGTTAGGTCCTGGTTCAATGGACCACTAGACAAGGTACGAATTTCAGCATTCTGATGCATGTTTCGTAATCAAAATTTCACGTAGAACACGATACGCACAACGAAAATTACCAAAATCAACTCCTGACGAAGATATTTAATGATTTTTGATGCGTGAATTCAAACCACCCGCTCATGAAAACTCAATGCTCTACGTGATTCACATCGCGCGCTAAATGTTTATCATGACAGTCTCTAAAATATACAAATCTGGCAACCTCAACATTGACGCTTTGGCTCAACTATAGCTAATTGCTTATAGTTTGAACAACACATGGTGGAAAATGAAAATTGCTCGATTGAGAAGCTTGCTGAAACCGTTGTAGTGCGCGATTTGACTCACGTAGAGCTTTGAGTTTCTTGTGAGCGGGCAGTTCAAATTCCTCGTAACCAGTGTGAAATAAAAACGTTACTATCTTCGTTAGGAGTTGATTTCGGTAATTTTCATAGTGTGAATCGGGTTCTACGTGAAATTCTGGTTAAGAAACATGTATCAGATTGCTTAAATTCGTACCTTGTCTAGTGGTCCATTGTGTATTTGACGAGACACACCGTTTCAAATTAAATTTTTCAAACTCATAAGAGGTCCTTTGACTTTCACAGTTCAAACTGCAAAATCAGTTCCAGCCTTCCTTCCTTGTCCTCACTCTTTAGGATAGGCATTAGAGCAATTACAGGGGCTACTCACAGAAAAGACTCCTTTTATTTATGAGGGCAACCCTTTTGAAATTCTTCCCACATTAAAAAAGAAACTAATAAAGCACTGGCTACAATTACAACACAAAGATGATATAATTTGGACTCACCTTTTTGTTACCTTTCCGATTAGCTGTTCGCATTTCAATAGGTGGTAATTTTCCTTTCTGCTGCTTGAAAGGTAGATTGGTGCTATTTTTCACTTCATACACACTTCCTAGTTTGGCTTTTACTTTCTCCATGAGATCTTTCCATGATATGAGACCATCAGGCGTATCTCCTATGATTTGTTTCAATGTTAAATCTAGCCTTATACAATTTTGCTTTTGCCTATAAAAAAAAAAGAAAGAAAGAAAAAAACACCTTCATCAAGTCACAGCAATAAATATCCTTGAGAATGACATTGAATCCATTTTATTAATTAAATAGATGGCTGCTTCAGCTTCTTTCGCTTGCTTTCTACCTAGTTGGGGGCTCTGACCCCAGGACCCCTCACCTCTAGAATAATTTACAGCTTACTGCACCATCCTAATTCAGTAGGGAAAAAGATTTAATTATGAATACTTTCAATTAATCAACTTCGGTTAGAATCCATCTCAGGGACTTTGTGTACCAAAATCTCACGCTCAGTAGCGTCTGTCACAGATGTTGATAAAACCTACCGTTGGCTCTTCAGATGGTAGTCGTAGTAGGGGGAGCAATACTATGTAGTGTACCAGATGAGATAAAGATAAAAGGCACAGCCTAGAAAGTCTTCCTAATTCTCTCCTCAATGAGAGCTCCAAAGCATTCAGCTCAAAAATTGGTGTAGTGAGGCTCCTACTACATCTATGAAAATCTCAAATCCCAGGGATTTCATTAAAAAAGGTCAGAAAATGTTTACTTTTCATTTCTATTTTATTTTTTTAAAAATAGACAAGCCAACTTCACAGCTTCAGCTATACGCAATATTCTGTTGATAGAAGGAAAAATCTGGGAAATTTTCAGAAAATTACTTTAACTAGTTTCCAAATGAAAAAATTAAGTATGACAGGAATAGTCTGCAATGTCGCGAGCAGAGATACGCGGTTTCTCACTTTGAACATCGATACATGTTGGTGAAAATTTAATTTATAAAATTTTAACTTACGAATTATTATTTGCCACTTTTAAGTTGTTCATGTCCACATATTCTGTAATGTATCTTCGAAGTTGTTTTGCATCAATAGTGTCACCTTTTCTGAAAAAGAAAATTCAAGGATAAAACCATATTCAAGACAAAAACATAAATTCTCCTTTCTTTTGAAAATTAGTATAGATCAATGACTCACGATGTTGTAAGACCAGTCAATTCTTCTCAATTTAAAAGGGTGCGTAGCCATACTGATTGAATTGAGAAGGGAAAAAATTCTATTTTAATGATCCTTGATCTAGGTAAATTAAAGGAAATAAGAAAGGGTATAAGTATATGTGCGAAAAAAAATATCTGGCCGCCCTCTAGAAAAAATTATTTTGAAAAATGAGAAAATAATGCAAAAAAAGTCAAAATTATTATAAAATTGAGATAGAATATTGATGCATCTCTGCTCATTGAAGTTACTTTCAAAATGTGAGGAGGGCTGAGTCTTGGCACTTGGGAAAATTTGAAAATTACGAGTGAGGATGCATGCAGATTTCATAATATTTTCGAGGACCAAGGAATTTCCTGGAATTTTTCTTTGGTTTGCAAGAGGTGAGAAAAGGCAGAATTTTGAAATAGGATCATTCAGGTGGTCAAAATTGAAAATTTTCAACTGTCATTAGGTACTGTAATAAGCTAAAATTCTCCGCATTTTCCATGATATTTTACTATTGGATTGAATTCCCTGTGCTTTCTTGATTACTTAGAGCCCTCAGCATACAAGCCATCCCTATCTCAAATGCATGATTCAAATTTACTCGTTGCTTCCACAAACCTTCTTATCCAGAGAAAAATCTCATGTCTTCCTCTTGCCTCTCACTATCTATGTACCTAGCACAGATAAAATGTTTTGAAACATTAGACAACTTACGAAACTAGGAACGGTTTGAACAGTGGTTCGACAGCCTTCGTTACAGCATACTTTTCACTGATTGCTAACTTATCATCTTCTTGTTTGACTTCCTCTGCCGTGCTAATGAATTCTTCGTCCTTCCTCGTATCGATAAATGATTTTATCAAGTCATGATCATACTTAATATGAGAGATTTGATGGATACCTGTTTTTAATGTTTCTATTTTTATGATCCCTGTTTCAGCCATATGTGTTAAGAATGGTAATAGTTTTTTATAGCTTGATTTTTTGAAATTTAAAGTTGTGTTATTTGGACAGACAGGTATCATCACATCCTTCTGAAATTTGCTGAGTGATATTGGCAATGTGAGATTTTTACTTTTCTTTATACCTTTTATAAAACTGTATTCTAAAACTTTATCAATTTCTTCTCTTTCTGATGCCTCATCTTGTTCGTTATCAGCTCCTTGTGATTCATCTTCGGGAACATCGTTTTCACTGCCAGTAATACCCTCATTGTTTTCCACTGTTTTATCATCCAGACTTAAGCCACTTGGGTCCGGTGGTTCCAGAACCTCGCCTGGCAGTCTCGCTGGCCCTGCGTCAGGTCTCGGCTGCTTGTCTTTGAAAGACCATAAATAATCCCCATAAACGTGCCAGATCACAACGCTCTTTCCACCTGCTTGACCAGCACTACGCATTTCTGCACTAGACATTCCTGCTATGCCGACAGCGAATGGAGCATGGTTATCAAGTGAATTCACAACGCATATATCACCCCTGTTGACATTATTGTAACGCTCTGGCTCTGATTTATCTCTGACCATTATTCCTGCTAGCATCAAATCAGCACCATTCATTAGAACTTGAACAAGGGATTGATGTACGGTGAAACAGGGAAATTTGTCTGGAAATTTCCACACAAAGTAAAGTGAGGGGTATAATTTTTCATTGACAAGGAAGAAGAGAGGGACTCTGTTCACAGAATAGATGTTGATTACACTGTTGTTGCTCAAGCAAACCTTTGATACCAGAACTATTTCTTTGCGGGGACAAAGCATGCTTAGCTCATCATCGGTCATGGGATAGAGTCCCATTACTTGAGATTGAAATTTTTTCCTGAAACACAAAAATAATCAACACTCAGTACACAACTCTTTCGTCAGATGCAAAATTCTAAGATAAAGAATAGTTAAGTAACTGCCTGTTAGAGAGAATATTACCAAATAATTCTTTATGCAGTGAATAGTGGAAAAGAGAATAGTTGAGTGGATTACTTTGTCCCAACACTTCTATCAAGGGTGATGTTATTCCAGATGCTTATGATGTTACTTACTTGGCGTTCACTTCTGCAGAAAAATCATACCTACATCTTTATTTTCTGCAAAGAAAAAAAAGCATCAGTGCTGCAGATAGAGGAAATAAGATTTTGAAACAGCTTTGCACCAAGCATGCAAAAAATTCCAAGCCTTCCTCCAAAACTCGATTTGCCTTTCCTGATGGGTAAGTATTGAAACATTTTGAAGAGAAGGCAGAAAAAAAAGCCATTATGATCATGATTTGTATCTCCAAAGCCAGTAGTTTTTGACAGATCCTGAGGTTAGGCTTGTTAAGAAAGAGAAGAGGGTCGAAATTATGTTTACGTATTCAAGAAATATGCTAACGCAGTTTATATAAGATCAGCACTATTCGCTACTCCTGGTTATTAGAGAATGGTAGGTATTGTTCTTGTACTTACTTTTCAGATGATTTCATCTGCGTCTCAGACTTGACACGAATAGGTTTTTTGAACATCTTGGCTGAATTAAAATTAAATGATGATATCACATGGAACTTTACAGTGCTTTGGAAAAAGAAGAGTGGGAAACCTTATACACACTTGCGACTTATGGCAAATTAAAATAAGCTCAATGCACGACGTCATTAAAAATGAAAACGCTGGGATATTTAGATTAAATAATAATTAATTCCTTTCATAATTTTGACAAACTTCAATAAACTGAAAACTCTAATTCTAACCTAAAAATCTCCCACAGACTCAGTGTTTACAGGTTGAATTTCGATTTCGACATCATTTCGATGCATTTCGATAACGATAGGTCGTTAAATTGTTCAGAGTTGCCTAATGTCACGCAAATGTAATATACCTGAGCAAGTTTATCATAAAAAAAAAAAAAAAAACATTTTTTGCAAACCGGCAATCTAGCATGGCGGTCTCTCGAGTGGATCACTTTGTTTACATTGATAAGTTAGGTTAGGGTAATTTTGAAAAGGTTTTCCTTTGTCAGTTTATCTTTTTAAATTTCAACATGAAAAATCTTCGGAAAGTGTTCACTCCAGGAATAAAATCTGTGTAGTTTTTCCCCTTCAAATCACTGCCTTTACAAAGATTTAATTCTTCATCAACCTTAATTTTGTGTTGTCCACCCGAATGCGAAGTGCGCACTTCAGTTTCCTTATCCAATGGATCATAGGAATAGTGATCGTCTCAAGGAAGTGTTGAAAGCAACCAGTTATCAAATCACTAAGTTTGAAACCCAATCAACTGAAACATTAGATCATCTCGTAGAGTTAAAACCATTCATGGATTGGTTTACAGATTTCATCACCAATGACTCTTGCATGACTCAAGATGAACTACGCATGTATGTAATCTACACAAATACCTGCCTAATCTACTGTAAAATTGTTTGTTTGTGTATAAGTACTCAACTTTGTTTCATCATGCATATTTTGTAAATAATTAAACATATAGGAGAAATGGCTAATGTGCTGAAGCCTACTGTGCTTCGCCCATGCCGAATAATTTTTGCATTTTTAGAGTGTGACGGACAATTTACCATCTTGATTTTGGTATTTACTTTCAATATCAAACATAAGATAGCCAATTTTCTGTTGCGCTCTGAAAATGTGCAAACTCATTAGGAGCATTTAAACTCAACTTCAGCTTCATTATGACCTGGGCAAACTTCTTCAAGTTGTTGCTGTTTCCATGCCAGGAATTAAGTCATTCCTTTTGCCAACAAAGCGCTATGTAAATTTTGCTTTCAGTTCGTAGGAAACATGTATGACTACAGATATTATTACTTATTATGTTTAAAGAACAGTTGGTAGTGCTGCTGAATATTTTGCAGGAGCCCTCTCTTTTATACTCATTTTCATGATTTCAGGTTTGAAGAATTAGAAGATGAAGAGAATATACTGTATGGAGAGGACTTAGAGAATGCCTTGGACCAGTTCTTCGAAGAACATTCTGAAGACTTTGACGATCTCATCAAAATAACTGGTATTGAATTTATGCCAGAGGAAGTCACCGAAACAGATACAGCAGTACAGCATTTAAAAAGTCTGTGGAATCTCCTTGCGTAAGTAAACATTGGATAAAAGCACAAATTTTCTTCAAAGAGTGGCTAACATTAATCTGTTGCTTATGAAAATGGCGAGACCAAAGCCACTCTCCCTTCATGGCTGGTTCGTGGTCACAGACTAGTGAATATTCACCTAGCAAGATTGGTGCATTGATGAGTGAAACAGTTGTTGCATCAACCAATAAGAGTGGCCTTTGATTGACCGAAGCTGCATGAGTGATTGGTTTAAATTGTAGTGGAGTCTCAATTTTTGGTATTTGCTCCAATTACCCGATTATCAGACAATGTTATTCACAGACTAGGTAGTTTTCAGAAGTGAAATTTCATCCTCTTTTGAAATGACTCTTATGAATTCTTGCGGCCAGTGTAATCCCTGAAAACATACTTGAACAAAGCAACTTCAATCGCTTTTTTCTCGGAACGAAGTTTTTTAATGGTAAATTTGAGATCATCATAACTTATGTTTGATTAAATTTTTTTTATTTATTTTTGTGTCAAAACTCTGAGCACAATTTTTTGCCATTTTTTAGTTTCCTTTGACATTAGTGGCTGTTTTTTTGTGCCAAAATATAAGTAAGTAGAATACCTCTCAAAGCAGTGTCACCACTATTTCTGTTTTGAGCTCTTGACTCCATGGTCCCTCTTCCAGTAAAGAGACAAAACGACCGTCACTGAAGGAAAGAAAGAAAACAGCGTTACCATTTATACTTTTTACTCGTCACTTCAATTTATTTTGAAATTGATATTGAAAAGTGCCAAAGTACTGAACAGTTTTTTGAGGACTGTTGTTTGCAAGTACATATTACTTATTGATTAGACTGAAACTGTTAAACTGTTGACTGTTTGTGTAAAAAGTATTGTTTTGTTTTAGTGGCTGATCCTGCTACATTGATATTTATTTTTCTGAATTGCAGGACCAAACTACAATCAATCAAAGAAAATGCTGTGGGTGTTGATCTGAGGAAGAAAGAGGTATCGAAGGAACTCAGCGAAATAGTCACAAGTTTATTGGAACTGAATAACAGTTTAAATAATATACTCAATACCCTGCACAAAACATTCAAAGATTTAAAAGAGCCATTGGTCCAGTTTGATGAGAATAATGTGAATGGACCTTATTTATCACAGCAATCTTTAACGAAGTATATGAATGAGAGCTCTAAGTTTGAAAAAAATGTATCACGTTACTTCAAATTCAAATTTAATGATCGCGCAAAATCAGATGTATCTGTTTTAGAATCTCTGATGAGCAAACTGACCTGTGCTCCGGCCCCAGAACCCTTAGACACTCTCAGTCAAGAAGAAGCATTTCCGCAGATAAAATGTAAAAAACTCGTCAGAGAACTTGAATGTGTACGAAAACATATCAAAACGAGTCGTGAAGAGAAAACTTTAGCTTCAGCTGACGAAAAAGCTTACTCTTTAGCTTTGGAGCAGATGAATACTTTGATCGAAAGTTTCAACAGCAACCTAAAAGTAACGACCTCTGAAATAAGGTAAGAGTAATGTGTAATATAAAGAAAATAAAGTTACTCAATGAAACTCACTTTAAAATGAAAAAAAAAGTAAGATGGAATGCAATGGTTTTCGTAATTACATGAAATCTAATTATTTCAATGCCTCATCTATGCCTTTACAGTTAGTGTGTTTAGCTTTTCTCCAATCATGACTGAAAATATGGTATTTAAATCTGCATGTTGCAAAGATTTGTCAACTTTGTCTTTGTTATTTTGCACACATACCAGCGGAGTGATAATTATTAATTTTGTGAGTGTGTGTGTTGATTGACTGGACAAAACATGACAAAAGCAAAATAGAGTTATGTGTTTGACTGGCTTTGCTGTTTCTTGGTGATGTAATCTTTTTGTTATACCTGTATCTGGTCGCAAAATCAACTGGGTGTCGACCACGAAGGAGGCGTCTGTAGCTTGTTGATTTTCTGGCCCAACAGTAGAGAGCATGTCAAGCAGAGGAAGCCAACCCTCAAGGAAGAACATTCTTCAAAATATGACATAGTAAATGATTCACACAATTGGAGGTTCGGAAATCAACTCCTGAACAAAACATTTAAAAGTATTTTCTACGCAGATAAAATGGAGTCATTTGTATTTTTGCCTTATCTAACTAATGTTAATTTAAAACATGTATATCTTGTTAAGGAGTTGATTCTCAGACTTCCCATCATGTGATTCGCTTTTCTGGTAAAATTCGAAAGTAAAAATATTTTTCCACAGCGATTTCATTTCTTGCCCAGTGGTTCAATCCTTTTTCTCTTTCTTTGGAGTTCGGTCAATTTTTTTATATTTTACCATTCCTTAAAAAAAAAACAATGTCAAACTATTATTGACGTTTGATCAAGGCATTGTCGGCTGTGATGATTTATAATTTGAATCATTGTCATCTTCTTTCTCTGTTTCAGGTACCAGAGTACTGAAAACGCTGACAAATTTGTTAATGCAAAGAAGACCGAGTCAGAATTGAAGCAATCTCTGTCTGCAAACTGTGAAACAGAAAGTACAAATGAATCTTTAAAATCTTTATCTGAAATCCAGGTCATCAAATTGAAGCGACAAGAAACCAAGCTGAACAATCTCAATAGACTGTGTGATTTCATTCAAAAGCGTCTGCATTGTGATGAGTATCTAATTTTGTTCCTTCAAAATGAACTCTTAAAAATTGAACTATTGATTCAATTTCTAGATGACACAATGAATACTGCAAGTAAAGAATGTGAAACACTTCATAATAACAGAGTAAGTCCCTCCAATTTTTCCTTATCTTCATCTGTTGTAAATTTTTTGGGAACTGAATTCATCACTTTCAGAGGAACAAAGGTAAAATAGTAGGGCACCTAAAATAGAAAACCTGATTACATCTTTCATTTTAGAGAGATAGCATAATTTTTCTCAGTGATATTTTACACTCTTGCCCTCTCCATCTTCATTTGGTAATAATTTAATCAAAATCAACTGGAGAAAAGTGCCCATTTTCTTTTCTTCTGAGGAAGAAAGAGAAATGAACAAATTACATGATGAGCAAATTGGTAGAAGAATATAAAAAGTGGAATTTGAAAACAAGCGGGTCCAAGACCGAAATGTTAATTGTAGGAGCTGCAGGACACTGGCTCATTTTTGATACCAGAATGGTCCAATTTCCCTTTCGATACCTTTGCCATACACCTAGTTTCTTGTGGCAGAAAATTAATTATCTGTAATGTATGATTGCCCAGAAAAAGTTAATTTATATCTTTAATCCCCATCTTTATTGATCAAATATTTTTCCAGGAAGTTGTGATGAGCCAAGAAGAGTTTTTGAAGAAACAAGCAGTGCAGTTGTGCAAAGGACACCCTTTGATAAACACTTTGAACGCTCTCTACAAGCTGAAAGCTGAAGACTCAAACGACATCACCACCTTGGTTCACACAATTGAGGTTCAAAATAAAATCATTACAGATGTCAGTTACCAACTAGCACACATGTACAATCTTGGGGGATCTAATGGTAAAGATTCATTGACGTATATACGAGAGTTGACAAACAATATATTCAGCGGAAAAGCAAGGCAGCCTGTTGCAAACGTGAATAAGTCAATGGTGCCTGTTAAAGCTGCAGAAAAGCAGATAGAAAGTTTGAAAGAACTTTACAATCTTCAGAGATTCTCATTTGAAGAACACATTGTAAGTATTAAGTTTGCTTTAGTTGTCCTTTTTCACCCCCTGATCAAATATAAATTCAAGGTTGCAGAGAATCTGTTACAACCAAACTTTCTCAAGCTCCTGTGAAAAAACTGTAAAATTTTTCTAGCCTAATATACAATAAGCTGATGAAAGTGAAGAAAATGCTAACAAATACATAATGACACATAGGTATTTGAAATTTATGGCATTTCTGTCCAGGATTTAGCAGGATGCTAAGCTTGGCTCTCTGATGAGTGTGACTTATTGAGGTGTAAAAAGACCTAAAACGTTGTAGATCTCTCGGCGTGACCCCAGCCTAATATACCAACGCATCTGCCTGAGCTGAGCATTCATTATAGGGATCAAATTTTTTACTCTAATTGAAATTTTTAGGATTTTTTAGCCTTGATTTTGTCGCGGAATAATGTGAGCCCAGCACTGTTCTACCACCTTGTTATTTACTGCCTGGGCCACATTTTTGTGTTTTTTTTCTTGTTTTATGTAAGTATTTAATTTAATTTTAAAATCCAACTCATCCGGTCTGTATGTTTCATTTGATGGAAAAGTTATCCTTGGTTACTTTCAACCTCATCAGGTTTGATCTTAAGTGATAAAAAAATTAAGAGCAGGCATCAAGACATAGCATCTGAAGGTGCATTCCTCGTCGAAGTAACTTGAATTTTGTGGTCTTAGATAGTAGTCTTTTCAAGGCTGGAACTGGTGAGAGAGCGGGGAATCATCAGTGCAAGATTAGTGCAGAAAATCTGATTGCGCCAAGTATTCTATCAACAGCCCTAAGTATTTATTGGCTGAACATTCCCCAATGTAAATACGTCACAAGGTACAAATGTAGATCTATAAATTCCTTTTTCCAAATTTTATTAAACTCAAATCTCTCACTTTTTTAATTTTTTTTTAAAAATAAAACAAAAACATATTAATAACTGTTTCAGAAGCACTCTTTATTAGTAAAGGTAAGCCCAGGATGGAGGAGAGAGAATCAAAACTAATTAATCCTTTTAAATGTATAATTGATAGAATTTGAGACTTCTAAAGTTTCTAAATGGGTGAAAATTCTTCTTGTTCCTTTCGTTGCTTTGACTTATTTTTAACTTTTTATAAGCCTNAGATGAATATATTTCAGTTTTCAGTCTGCTCTACACTGTCGACTTGTGCTGATCATAAAAAATAATAATCCAATTTATTCCTGGTGAGTTTCAATGTTGTTATTTAATTCAACAAGCCTCTTAAATCATAACACATGCCATGCCTTAATTGAGGAGTTAGGTGCAAAAGGGGCGTCATTGACAAAATCGCGTTTTGAGTTATTCGTGTTCAAAGTTTGTTGTTGTACAAATGGAATGTATGTTTAAAGATATGGAAATAATGTGGTAAGTTTAAATATAGATCATTTTATCATGTTTAAGTTTGTACAATTAGAAGCTCTGAATAATCGCGGGTTTTTTTTAAAATATGAGAAATACGGAAGTTCCAATGACGCCCCTTTTTAATTACTGTATCTTACTTTGAAATTACTTTAAAATTACTGTATCTCAGTGAATGTTTGACATATTAATATGAAAATTGGTACACCTACATTTTAGGATATGAGGATTCAGAAAAACCGGTCTCTGCAAAAGGGGCGTCATGGACCTAACGCCCCTTTTGCACCTAACTCCTCAATTACATTTCTTCCTCCCCCTTTATCCATTTTTTTTTTCTTCTTTTTTTTCAGGTTCTACAATAATTGTCTATAGCAATTCAATTCTATCTCATAATGATTATTATTTCTCATTGCAGGATTACTTGACGCGGAAGCCACACTTGAAATTAGAGGTATCATTGTGGTCTCGCTTCCTGGTGCGGCCCATCGAATTCAAAGCATTAGGGGATGAAGCGAAAAAGAAACTTAAAAGTAAAGCATCCAGGTATGAGGCAATTACGTTCAGGAAGTAAGGTTTAAAACATTTTATTCATTCAGTTATGTTCTTATCAACGGTGACACTGTATAAATGCGTATTTCAGTTTCGCCATTTGAAAATCTCCACTCCTATTTTATTTTCTAAGAAGTGACTGAACCAACATCATGGCTTGATTTTTATATGTAGAGTATCCTTTACATCAAGAAGAAAATCACCGAAGTTTTCAAGAAATTACGTTTAGTAGGTAATTTTCCGTGCAGAAAATAGAGTATGATAGGGAGTCTGCAATGTCACAAACTGAGGTACACATTTCTGCAGTGCCACCATCGTTTTATATTCATGAGAGACATTCATGTCGTTATGCTGTGAGAAGCTTATCCATGATTTAAGTGAGAAGATAATTTCCTGTCGTGCCTAAGTTCATTTTGAGTAATTTTTTCTCATTTTACCAGTGAAGAGAGTCTGCCTCTGACTAATATTTTAAGTAGGATTTTCCTAGATAATTATTTCTGAATAAATGACTCCAATCATCCACAAATTTAAGGTTGTGGCCTTACTAATTTCAGGCCTAGGAGGGCTAGAAGTCCCATGGAGCAACAACTTTCGAAAGTGAGTATTTTTTAAAGCATCCTAGCATTAGCTAAGAAAAATCTTTATCCATGTTTGTCTTTCTTTAGTTGCATAACCACTGCTATGTCTCTTCATGAAATAAGAATGTTAGCAGTGCCTCATTGCTGTGCTGGATACGCTAAGCGCCAGTTGATCATTAGCCGGATAGTTACGGCATCATAGTCATATTTTGATTAGCTCAGTCAAATGTACTGATTCTTATTCCTTATGAAGCTGTCCTCACTAATCAATCTTAGTTTCAAGCTCAATTTTAACGAGAGCCAAACTGTAAATAACTTTATTTTATATTTATTTGAATCAAGTCACGCAGAAAAAAACCGGTATGATTACATTATTTCAAGAGAAAGGGGCTTAAAGTATAAATTCTGAAACTATAAGACTTGATAGTGAAGTAAACAAAATGTTACAAGGTTGCATTAAGTTTTCCCTCGTCCTTTTTGATGTATGATTAATACAAGTTCATTCAGAACAGCTCTTATTTCAGTTTTTTGAAAAATCAGATTCGTTTATTTCTGCCTGGCCTGGTCCATTTTTAAGTACGTGGAGTTTAAGTGTTGAAGAGCAAGTTGATGGTGAAACTGCGGAAATACGTATTTCGGTTGCAGTGTTTCAAAATCTTGACTCCTATTTTATTTCATAAAAGGAGAATGAACCAACCGTCAATCACGGATTAACATTTTCACAGAATATTTTCATTTTGAGAAGAAAAATCACTCATTTTTTCAAGAATTACGTATAGTACAAACCGAGTTGTGCATTTCTGCAGTTTCACCATTGATGTTGTCATTCTACTTATTTTTCTGTTAAAATCAGTCTTCCATCTCTAAGTTTTTGACTGAGATTCACATGTACATTTTTATCTATTATTTTTATGATTACCAATTTACTATATCGTAGTCAATGAACTGCCAACAGTCAAGTAAATACTATGACTAAAAACTTTCAAGGCACTAAAAAACGTTTTAACCTGTTCCCACCTTCGAGGAGCTATTATTTTATGAAGAAAGATACTTCTTTTTGTGCAGTTCCTCAGTTATACTCCTTCTGAGTAATGCATTGTATTTTTTTTTTTTTTTCATTTCCCTACTGTATTTAAAACTGACATTCACTGTCTCTGAAAAGCATGAGAATATGAACTGTAAAAATAAATTCCTTTTGTACACAAAATTTAATTTGAAAAAATATTTATTCATTTTTTTTTCTATATAATTACCTAAAACTAAACTTAACATTAATGTCCTATAGGCTGAAGTATACTCGTTACTTTACTATGGTTCAAAAATCTGTAAACACAAATAGAGTAGCTAAGTTCAGAGAGTAAAATTAACAAAAAAGTTAAAGCCAATTTTTTTTCTGAAATGGCACGAACAACTTTTTTTTTTTTTTACTTCTTCAACATTCAAACTTTCTGTCATGAGTATTTTGCCTTCGTTGCTACAATAGTGTTATTTTATTGTGAAACTTCAGTTTTCTGCTCACATATTATTACTGCTTTGACTACAAGAGCCATACTTGTCTTTTAATATCAGTTGTCTTCTCACATCTAATTCAATTTTTAAAAAAGTATAATTAACAGAAATCATTTCAAATTTTCATTTGCAGTGTTCTACCCTCACCCTAAAATTTTAGGAGCTATCTTGTCTGGAAAGCTCAATTTTCAGAAGCCAAATTTACTTTTTGTACTTGCATCATGTTGCATGAAATTTTGCAACCAAAGGCACAAATGAGGAATTGCAACATGTATCGGTGGTGAAGGCTGCGGTGTTGCAAACGGTACTTTGAAATCGCTACCGCTGCTTCGAGTTTGCAAGTTTAATTAATCAACAGGGTGCGTCAACTTGTTTTGGCGCCACAATGGCTCAGCCCCCTCCACCAATTTTTTGGCGCCAAAGCCCGATTCTTGGGATCTTTTGAGGTCCAGTGCCTGGTGAAGGTGGAACACTGTTCTTTTGTACGTTTACATATTGAAAAATCACATGGGAAATATTCTAAAGCAGTACAATTAGAACTAATTGACAGCATTTTTGGTTAAGGAAAAGTTTATCTAAGAAATTTAGTGCTGCTGGTATGCTTTTTCTGTTTAAGAAAGAAACAAATGGCAGTGCATCTTGGAAGTTTTCATCTAATGAGTGTTACAACAAAAAACATAAACGAGACATTACCTTTGAAATTGACAAAAATGGAAGTCCACCTTACCAGATTAAAATAAGGTGGCTTGGTGCAAAATCTACACCGACTAGCTGCAATATTGCAGAATGTTGAAACTCATTCTTACTGAATCTGGTAAATAATTTTATTTACCATGATTCAAAATTGAGGATCTAAAATCAGTGAAAAATGATTTGAGTATTTGGGAATTTGCCCCCAATGAAATCGTTATTTTGAAAGTACAGCATTCTCTCTCTCTCTCTGTCTGTATTTTGCCACCTATTATAACAAACACTTCTCTCTAACAAAAGAATCGTTTGGTCCTTTGAACTTCCTAGTTCCTATGTTTGTTGAGCGCCACTTGTAATATAAAAAATTTCTCTCTGAAGAAAGATTTTTCGGTTCGTTGCAGATTTATTATAGAGAGAGTGTACTGTGCAAAATTTAGGGGAGGATACCAAGTCTTAGCCAAAGCTTAGAGTAATTCCTAGCTCTTAGTCTCAAACTCAGTAGTATCACGTGAATCACAAATCTCACGCTTCTTGAACTGTGTGGTTCCTGTGAAGTTTTTTCTTCCCTTACTTTCTTTTTCATCACATTTTCATGTTTGATAATGTAACTTTTTCAATCTGTAAATACTGCGTAAAAATGGAATGACTGCTTGAATGAATTTTAGAAAATTCTCCTCACTTTATAAAAATCTCAATTCTTAGAGGACCTTTTAAAATTTGTACAAAAATATTGGAAGAATCTTCGGCTAAGAATCGTATAATTGAAGCATGTAAATGTAACTGTGTTCAATAAACTTTATTTATGAGCAGCAGTCAAAGTTCCTTGTTCTACTTGGGAAAATTACCCCTTATCAATGAATACAAAAGATCTCTATGAACTCAATCTACTATTACCTACAAAATGTACACTGAACTATTTTAATGAATCTTAGAATTATTGCTAACCAATCAGATATTCATATTTAATTATTCATCAGAAAATCTCGTTGCCTTTATTCAGCAAATTGATCAGATGAGCAGTAAACTATGTGTAGTAAAGCAAGTTATTATTCACAACAAATAACGCATCAGTTGAAATGATCAGTTTGTTGGAGTTTTTTACCAACATGCGTTAAAAATTCAGCACAAAGCTGGAAATCTCAAACAGTGGGAAAAGCTCATATGTGCACATTTTCTTTTAATGCACGTTGGCAAAAAACTCCAACAAACTGTCTTACGACCCGTGCCTCCACTGCAATCAGTTTGTGTAAAATGATCAGTTGAATATCTTGCAGATCAGTAAATTCTTCATTATTCGTAGCACCTTATTTAGTTTAGCTTTCTTCAATCCTTTAAACTGGAAAATAAAAATACTGATGAAGGAACTTAAGCGTCTCAAAACTCACTTGGGCTGCTTTTATAGTGTGGAAGTGAAGTTTTAAGTCTCCTTGTATTTTACAACTGTACTATGTTACAAATTCCGAAAAATGAGTTTTCTTCCTAACCCTAGAATGTTTGGAGATTCAATGCATTTTCCTTGTATTATTTTGTACAAAATTACATACATATTAATTTAAATTGGAATTTTTTACTAAACTGCAGGTCGGGGTAAATTTTTCACTTGTTCAGTTTGTCGCCGCAAATCGCATTTTATAATAGTGGTCATTCCTGCCCCGACAACAAGTGCAGCGCACAAACTTAAATTAGACCAAAGGTCACCGAATGTGTTTAAAATCAGTCTTGCAAACATTGTAAAAGCAATTCCAAATATCTGAGCAGACGCATTTAACATTCCTGAAGATGTTCCTTCTGGCTCTGGGTAGGTTAGTTCTGTAGCAAATTCGAACCCAACAGGTAGATAACCAGTCATGAAGAATCTGAAACAAAATTAAAACTTTTTAAGGAGATACTCACCTCCATTTAAAATCTAGTAGTTCAACTGATCAAATTCTCGAGGTTTTTTTTTTTTATGGGTTACTTTCCATTAGTATAAACCATGCCTCTGGTCTTTCGAACTTTGAACACAGGATCAGTCCACCATTTAATAAGCGAATTGAACGAATGTTTTCCTTTGTCACTATGCTTACAACATTTCAATCGTTGAGATAGGAGTATCTCAAAAAATTTTGACAGAGCTAAAGATTTTTAGGCTACCTACATATTTTTATCATTATAAACTCTGAAAGGTGAAATGCATAAAGTATACTTTTAAAAATTTACAAAACTATGTCAGAGGGCTCAAAATATGAACTCTGGACAAGCTTCTCACATTAGACCGATCAACCAGAGAAAGCTTTTTTCGATACACACTAAAATTTTTTCAAAAACCAATTATTCTTTTATTCTCTACGCAAGATGGCTATTTCGGCCGGGCCGCCCATCTTCAGGTGACTGAAATGGCCATCTTGCGTAGAGAATAAAACTAAGTCATCTAAGTATAATCGGTTTTTGAAAAAATTTTTAGTTTGTATCGAAAAAAGTGTTCATAGTACCGATAAGTGTCAGAAAAATTGTGTAGTATGCTACAACATAACCAAAGAAAGGTTTGAAATTTTAAAATGTAGAAGAAAAAACCATGGCATTTTGGAATTCAGTGTAATCAAAGGTTTTGAATTTTAAAAATTTAAGGTAATTTATTGATACACATAATCTACCAATCCTATCATATCAAAAAATCATTTTTTGAGAGTGATGGATTGAAATATTTTTCAGAAAGACTTAAATAATTTATTTCCTCACCCAACAACTCCAGATGTGAAGTACACAACCTCCAAGTATCCACTGCCCAAGGTGAATGTAAACAAGATCATTCCAGCCAAAGAAAGGAAGTAGAGAACTAATGTTGTTTCCCTGGAAGTAAACAAAACATTTTTACTCTATTTGATACATAAGTACCCAATCAGGTGGGAGAAAAACTATATTGTCTTCACTTGGAGCAGCACTCCCAAGTGCAACAATTGCTGCAAGAGATTCAACATAAGCTTTTTCCCAACGGAGTATTCGAATAATTTTTTAAAAGATTGTTTTGGATTAGCATTAAAATTGTACCCATAAGTGAGTGTCTATGGAGAGTTTACAAAAGGTCTATTCATTCAATTTGATTATTTTTTTTCTTACTTCTTGTCGGTGAGGTATTATTTTCTTACGGCTTTATATGCACATTTCTTTAAAAATTCCTGCCATGCCTGCTTTGGTTTTAATAGCATAATGATTTTGTGGATGGAATGCGTCTACATTAACATTTAAAACTCCTTCAATTTTCAAGATATACAAAACATCATGTCAGTCAAAACACTTATCCCATCATCAAACATTGCAATAAAGATAGTCAGTACAGTGTCTTACATTAAATAAGCGTAAAAAATAAAAAACAAGAAAAGTACAAGATTTCACTGGTTTTTCCTGTAAATAAAATTATGAGGCACTGTCAACTGTAAAGAATTTCCTTGTGTAAAATTTTGAAACTTATAAATGTGGCTCAGTAAGTAATTGTAAGGAAACATATTGACGCTTACTTAAATTTATGAGTTCTATCCAAAATTATGCCACATAGAATAGATCCCACCATTCCAGCTATCACAATTACAAGTCCAATTTGACCTGCATCTTGCTGTCGACCCTGGAAAAAAATCAAAGAGACAGTAGAGTAGATGTTCACATTTAGTAGTAGTGTCGAGAAATATCTCTTGATAAAATATTTCTTTTTGGGAAAGTTCACTAATATTCCTTCTTGAAATTTTTAGGTTACATTAATTTAAGGGCAAATGAAAATTATCTGAAATACTGAAAGGTAAAAATTCAATCGTCTTCCAGATCAGTGTATTTTATTAGAAGAAATTCGGCATCATTCATGTAAATATTGTCATGCATCTTTTTTTTTTTTTTTTTTTTTTTTTTTTTGGACAGTACCTCCAAGAGTTGCACACTTGCTTCTCTGTCTCAACTGAATTCTTTTCTCTTTCTTGTGACAAGAAAAATATAAAAAGTAAAGAAGCAGATATTTTTCTTTGAAGTGTAATAAAAATCTAAAAGAATAAAATAGGTAAAAAAAAAAATTAGCTTTAAAATAACACTAGCCACAAAAAATAGAAACGTTTCATTCAAGACTCCAAAAGTTGCACGCTTGCTGACACTGCCTCAATTGAATTCATTTCTCTTTCTTGTAACGAGAAAAAAATAAAAAGTAAAGAAGCAGACATTTTTCTTTGAAGTGCAATAAAATCTGAAAGAATAAAATAGGTGAAAAAAAGTAGCTTCAAAAGAACACTGGCCACAAAAGAAAAAAACCGTCTTATTCACCAAAGCTGGGCCTTGTAGGTGGTGTCAGCTTTTTTGAAATAGAATTTGCTGACAAAAATTCTGATACTAATTCTTAAAAAAAGATATTGTGTTCGGTGTGGTTGGATCTAAAAAAAACTTACTACTACTTCCTTACATTTATTTTACGTAAATAAGTAAGTTTTTGGGGAACAATAATATGGATTGCATTTTGCAAAAAGGAACCAGGAGCTTTGCAATGTTGCTAAGATTGTGCAACTTCATTCATTGCAATATAACTATTAAAATCCTGAAAAATATGAAATTTACAATTTTCAGCGAGTAAAATAGAAACTGTTTATAGATAATCAGGTCACCCTTCAAAGACAAAAGAAGTTGCACAATCTTAGCAGTATTGCAATGCTCCCGGTTCCTTTTTGCAAAATGCAATCCATATGTAATGTAATGAAAATATGAGGTTTAAAAAATTACCGGGAAATATCCTAGTATGACGTCATTCAGTAAAGTAGATATTGCATAGAAAACTCCAACATTTATTCCGTACGAGAATAGGAGCAGAACATATGCTGGGTTCATGAACAGTCTTTTTATTGAACTGCCAAATCCTGAAGGCTCACATGCTCTTTGCGCCGCCTGAGCAGGGCTTGGTGGGAGCTCTGGAGCATCCTTGAAAACTGAAATAGTTTTAAGAAGAAAAGGAAGATTGTAGACAAATAAGAAGAGGCCGTTTCAAATGACTTTTCCTTTTTCGCTGTAGGTATGCGCGGTGTACGACAGTGGCGTAATTACCATACCTGCCGCCACCGACGGGCGGGGGGGGGGGCGCAGCGATGTGAGAGGCGCCAAATTTTGGGAAAAGAAAACGGAAAAAAGAAGGAGGAAAAGAAAAAGAAAGAAGGGAGAGAGAGAGGCAGAAAAGATGTAGAAAGAGGAAAGCAAGGAGAACAAGTATACTTAACATAAAAAAATTTTGATCTTACAAACATTTCATGTGAGTTTCACATATTTTCATACCCTGGTAAAAATTGGCGATAGGAGCTGCGTTTCAAAATACCATAGGAGTTCTCATAGCCGACTGAAGAAGGCGATAGAAAATCATATAGATGGCTGTACATACAAAGTGGAAAAAATCATACGGCCGGGCTACACGAAGCGATAAAAAATTATACAGCCGGGCTATACCCAAAGTTCCTATCGCCGGGCTTTACACTTTATCGCCTGGCTGTTGCTTTTTCGCCATCGGCTATAAAAGGCTATAAGAAATTGTGTAGAAATTCGTGTGCTTTGTAAATCCTTAAGTTTGTGCGGAATCACCTTAATATTTACAAAACGCACATTATTATTTGTTTTCATCAATTAAAATGAAAATAATCCATACAGAGTGTGCAAACATTTCAAAGTCACGAGTTGAGAAACGCTGACTCCACGAGATTAAATATTAGAGCCTAACACAAAGCGGAGTGACGCGGCGGCGCACTGGCGCCTACAAACCTAACAGGGATACTTCACGCATTGCGCAATGCGTGAAGTATCCCTGTTAGGTTTGTAGGCGCCAATGCGCGTTTCGCGCTGGCTGCCCGCCCGCCGCGCTTCGCCGCAGCGTACCACGGCGCCTGAAGCAACTATTTCACACCAGAGGTATTGCACAGTATCATACGAAATTGAAGGCGCTCAAACATATCAGAAATGGCAGGCATCCTTCAAAAGTACGGAGCTTTCCTCGCAAAATAAATCAAGATACTACGGCCCAAAAAGAGGGCGGTAGTCCAAAAACTCACCAAGTCCTAGAGTATCCGTAATTAGTAACTTTTAGCATACACTTTATCGCCAGGCTGTCGCTTAATCGCCATCGGCTATAAAAGGCTATAAAAAATTGTGTTGCCGGCTATAGAAGCTATTGGAAATCTTACAGCCGGCTGTAGGTCTATGGTATTTTGGAACACAGATTCTACTGCCAATTTTTACCAGGGTACTTTTTTGGGACTTGAATTTCCACTTCAATTTTCTTTCTATTTTCAAAGCGATATCTTCATTTCCTCCAATTTATTCAGATCTGAATGACTAGACGGGCAAGGGGAGGGGGGGGGACGCCGCTCAAAACTTCTGATATGAAAGGGCGTATAGCCTCAAATCGGCGGGGGCGCGCGAAGATTTCTAGTTACGCCACTGGTGTACGGAATTTTGTATTCTGCGCGCATGATACGAAACATGAGAAGATATCTGAGACGGGCTCTATGGATGAGAAATAGGTAACTAATGATTAAAATTGAAAAATGAATGATCTTAACTTAATTTCGAGCACTTAAATAGCAGCGAGCTGGGCCTGCTTCAGTCTATTATGTGACGGCGAGAATCTGCGATTTTTTATCACAACATACTAATACCGTGAAAAAAAGGGAACATCTGAATGTTCCCAAATTGACAGAAAAATTTCAGTAAAGCACTCGACTTATGGACGAGCAAGTCTGCGGGTATTAATGCTGTCATACGAGCACATAGACTCTAATTTTTCGGAAATTCCTCCAGTCATAGGAATAAACAGTTGTTATTTGCAGCCTGCGAATTCAGCGTTGAAATCTGAAAAATTGCAGTTGACGTAACGCTGCCAATCGAAGTTTCTCATCTACGATCAGTCCGACAATAGGTATAGTAAGTTCATTTGTTACAGTTCCTATGTAGAGTCTACGAAAAATAAATTTCCGCACTTCTAGACTACGACAGAGGATCTGCCATCTTGACCCTTGCATTTACATAACGTGTGAAAGTGTTGTCAGATGATCTGTTGTCGCGGACTAGAAGTGCGTAAACCTATTTGTCGTGGACTCTGTACTTCAACTTTTCCTTTTTTTCTTTTTTCCCCTTTTTTTAACACATTTTTACGTGCTTCTTGTCTGCCTATCGATTTCAGCAAAACACTTCATTCTACCGTTGATAAGCACATGGCCGGATTAAGGAGTCGGCCACATGGACCGCGTTGCATGGCGGCAAAATTAGGGGGCGGCAAATTTTGCAATTTTTTTAAATGCGGGTACAAAAAAATCGGATTCAGAATAAAATTAGCAACAATAAATGGTGACAAAATCTCTCATATCCTGAGAGTTCATTAATTTCTAATTTTGTCGTATTTCGGTGGTACAAAAGACTGCGCACCTTTAATTAGTTGAGTTAAGATCGAGAGAGACCAAACACGTAATTTGGCCTGGAGCGGCGCGGCGCGGCGCGGCGCAAAGAGAAATGATGACGATGAGGACTTGAGATGGAAAGCCCTCGACGCGGCGGTCGGCATGTAACACGCATTAGCGCCTACGAGACTGCATGAATACTTCACGCATTGCGTCAAACACAGTACGGTCAACAGCGGTCGGCGCGGCCGCGCGGCGTGAAACGCACAGTGCCTACAAGACTGCATGAATACTTCACGCATTGCGTCAAACACAGTGTGGTCAGTGCGGCACGCCGGTGGCGGAAGTTAAAATTATTAAACCACATTTATGTTTGTTCTTTCCTAATTTTTTAGTTCATTTCTTACAAATGAAAGGCCTTGTCTCCACAGAGACAGGTTTACGGAACTGAACTTTCGCGCGAAGTTCCGTGAACTTTTGCTAGTGGTGTTGACAGGGCTTACGCAAAAAATGTGTCCAACACGAGTGAACGGCTGAACGCGTCTTATGCACCCTTCTCCCTCCGGCACGTTCACTTGATGGTTTTTATTGATGTTTCAAAATGAATGAGAAGAGGGCGGTAAAATACAGGCGGCCTATGGGCGGCAAGTAGGTACCTAAATACGGCCATGGATAAGCATGATATTTATAGTTATGAGAATAGCAATACTTACATATTAGCAGGAGAACAAGGAGGATCCCTGTAAACGCAGCGACGATGTTGAACATGAGTTGGAGACGGGCCCCGACAACATCAGGATTTTCACTTGGCGCCACAATCGTAGGCGGGAACAGGAAACCTGCAGCAATACCTACCTTCAAACAGCAAAAGCGATCGAGTACTTAATAAACTTGTTCAAACTTAGCACGCTCGTTTTCAAAATATTTCAACTCTTGTATAGCCTGAACAAATCTTTCTATCATATGCAAATCAAAAAATATTTTCCCGGTAGTGGCTACGCTAAGTACGAAAATAGCTTTTTATTGTGTCTTTAGTCGTTGAAAAAAAAAAATAAATAAATAAAAATAGCAGGAAATTTTTAATAAAGCAAGAGAAACGACAAATTATGTCAGAAGTAACATTATTTAACCGCTGCAGCTATGAATATGAATAAACCTATTGAACGGGACCAAAATGCTGCGAGCAACTATTGCTGCTCTTAAGTCGCTCAAGTTGCCTATCGAGAAATTGAAGGAGAACTGATCGGAACGAGTAAGAGACAGTATGAGCGAAGTACTAAGCCGCTATACTATGTGAACTGATCAAGCGGTCGTGGTCGAAATGCTGCGAGCAACTACTAGTACTCCAAGGCCGCTCACATTGCCTATCGAGATATTGAAGGCGAACTGATCGGGATGAGTAAGAAACATCGGAGTGAAGTATCAAGTCACTGCAGCTATGAAAGGACCAAATGAACATGACCGCGAGAGACTTTTACTGCTCAAAGGCTGCTCACATTACCTATCAAGATATTGAAGGCGAATTGCGTATCAAATACTCGTCATTTAGAATTCAATTTTACAAATGTGTCAAAAAGTGAATTTTAAAAGAGCACAATCGCCCTTACAATTACTTATTGTTAGGTATTTAATAACAAGAAAAGAAAAGGACCTGTGTGTTTAATCAATACATAGGTAGATTGCATACCTACATCGTACAGCCCCACTCAGCATAAAACCTTGATACAATCTTAGTATAATATTGCACATCTTACACATCAACATTGCAGCCATATTATATCCATCTTAGTAAGAATGAGGTAAGATTGCATCAATGTTGATGTGCTACTGCCACGGACTTACCTGAACATTGCAACAACATTGATAATAAGGTTGAAGTAACATTACAATAATCTTACATAATATTGATGCCCCCGTCAACATTGTTATCAGGTTGACGCTTCTTGACATCTCCTTGATTGCCGATCTATCAAGCTTACATCAATGTTGATATTGTCAGTCTTATCCTGACAATACTGATTTAACATTCCATCCATATTAGTAACATTACATCAACATATGTCAGCAAATAACAACATTGCTTTAAGATGTCATGCTGAGTGGGGCACCTCTTACCTCCTCTCCTCCTCTTGGGGACTAACGCAGCAGAAACATATTTGATTGAAAATAATCATAATTTGAAGTTAGAAAGAGAATATATGGCCAGTTCGCTGCTTGCCCCTAGCTATCCTACTCGCTTATGGACGGGTGCAAGAAATGAGATGTAAGTGGTTCTTAACTTCAGCTCGAAGCGCCTTGTTGACTTGTTGCGCCTTCCGGATACATGACGATTAAATTGGATAAATGGACATTGAGCCAATAAATTTGTCATGATGGTGACAGCGAGGCTGCCATGTCACGGCTCAGTGGCCAAGATTTTAACGGTGTGCTACGCGGGATGAATGCCACCCCTTTCAAAAGGCTCCAATTTGAGACCGGTCGAGAGACCTGTCTTCAGTCTTCGTTCAAGTAAATTCACCGAAAAAAATAAAATGCTGTTTTAGCATCTAGGATGTCAAAAATGTGTCTGGTGATCCCAAGATGCTGCCTTTACTGCCCCCGCAGTTAATTTTACATCCTGTGAATGCAAATTCAACTGCGGGGGCAGTAGAGGCAGCATCTTGGGATCACCAGACACATTTTTAACATCCTAGATGCTAAAACAGCATATTATTTTTTTCGGTGTTGCAGCGTTTTAAGAATCTTACGAACACAATCAATTAAAATTTTAAAATTTGAATTGATTGACCTTGCTTGTGCGGAAACTTCGCTCCCTCGATTCAAAATTGTCTTACGATCCACTTTTTCACCAAAAACGTAGGTATACGCAATTTTTCTAATGATCTTTCCCAGTCTGTTACTTAACACCTCAAACTTTATCAATATTCAAATTGAACTAAGGTAGGTGCCTGTTTATAATGGCACGTTCCCGCATTTGGGACTGAAAAGTTAACGATTGCTTTATCACTGTTTAACGGCCCCCAAAATATTGACGAAAACAAACTGATGTGACGTCATTTGCGGTTCATGTAACTGCAACACCTTTCCAAGTAGCATTTCTCAACGGGAAAATCGCAATATATTGCGATCTTCCTCGATCTTATCACCCGACAATTCATCGCGATATTTTCGAAATAAAAATCGCGACAAATGGCGATTTAATCTCGATTTTTATCGACGATAATTGATCACGATTTTATCGAACCAAAAATTGCGATGTGTAGCGATTTAATCGCCATACATCGCAATTTTTAATGCGATAATAGCTCGATATATTGTCACCGATACAATCGCGATAACCAACCGATACAATCGCTATTTATCGCAATCGCTGCTACTTGGGTTGAGATACTCACGAAAATATTGATATTATAACTACCCAAGTAGCATTGTCATCTACTTTCTAGGTGGCGCTCATCAAGAAAATGTCTACTTTCTAGATAGAGCAATTTTCTTGAAAGTAAATAGGTATAAAGTAGATCTAGAAAATAGACACAAGAAAATAGAGAGAAAATACATTTTTTCCTTGCATTTTCTTAAAAGAAAACATTAAGAAATGGGCTAAAAAATAATTCTACTTTCAATAAATTTTCTATCTTTTTTCCAAAAGGGATATTGACAGAAAGTAGACCTATGAAATAGATCTATTTTCTTTGATCAGACTTTTTACTCGCAATGTTTTTTCTTTCTATTTTCTGGATAACTCTCGTTTTCTTTGTTTTTTCCAGAAATTTTCTTTTTTTTTCTAGAAACAAATTCTATTTTGCTACTTGGGTAGAGCTAGCGAGTGGAGGGTTACTATATGCTACTGCTCCTTAGACGAGGGATATGACACCGGTCATTATATTGCATCGTCAGGCAATCACGCATGGTCACTCCCTGTGCCAGAGGTGCCAGATGGCACGAAAATATCGTGATTCCTTACACAACCGTTGGGATTTTTACCACACACTCCTATTACGATGATCAGCAGGCAACATGTGCATCAACGCTCAACGTGTGCATCAATTGTTTCCACTTCAACCGTTGACCCTATTCCAGTTGCAGGGATCGCGGTTGCGGGACCTTTTCATATATGTATATATATGGTTTAATTAAACTGCAAGCGTCACTTGGAAATTGTTTCTTCCGTTATCGAGTCGCCTGCATTAGCTCCGCTTATCCTCAATCGGATTTAATCCGACGAGGTAGTCCTTTGCCTCTCGCCCTCCCCTACAATTTGGTCCGAGATTTATGCATTTCCTTGACAGAGAATTACGCAGAATTCCTGATTGGTCCGCTACTGCAATCAGGGGGAAGGGGCGGGTGAGTATTACGAAAGACACTTTTCCCGCTTTTTCAGGGCCGGATTAACATTTTCAGCGCCCCGGGCTGAACTTTGGCGCTCCAAGTAGGTGTTGTCATAAGAGAGGTGGGTGTCTGGAATAAAAGCCGTCCGCTCCTCTTGACCATAAGGAAAATATTAGATGATAAAAAAAAATTGTTCAAATTTTTCCTCCAAAAAAAAAAAAAAAAAAAAAAAAAACACAAAATGTAGGGGTGCCCGATTGCGACCAGTTTGACGCCAAAAAGCTGCTTTTGAAAAGTGAGAAGCGACAAAAAATCCGAAAAATTATACAATCGTTTCAAAATTCTTAAAAATGTTGCGCCCCTTTTTAGGCTACATGCCTTTATAGCCTGGGGACAAATTCGGCCCTACATTTTTACTGCCCCATATTAATGCGTCTGATTCACTTATAAGGACCTCCTTGAATGATGCGCTGGACCATCTCCTCTCCACTCTTCACGATGTGTTCTGTTTCAGGCCTCTCATAAATTAGGACATCCTGGAGTTCGGAATTTTAGACATCCTCTCACATAACAGGTCTTTAACTCNCATACAACATTACGCCACGTAATGCTAAACAGTCCTTTTTGCGGTGAGGCATCAGAATATTTTATCCGTTGACTCTCAAACAAATGAAAAAAGTTGCGTAGCGTAACGTCAAACAGTGTTGGAACCCTCATTCTTAGAGCGTTAAATAATGTTTGGGGGTCCGGTGGCCCCTTTTTGGGTCTAAAAAATTATTATATTCATATTATAATACGATGCAGTCTTAATTTTTCCCCCAAGTTTCGGTCCCATTTTCATTTAGTTCATCACACGGGGGGAAGGGGGGGTTTGGGGGTATGACCCCCCTTTCCTACATTTCAGCGTTGACGTACTCTTATGGCTGTTAAGGTCAATTTTAATGACTTTCAAGGTAGATAAGTTTCAAAATTTGTAGCAGTTTAACTTTCCTTCCCTGAGCAAATTTCAACCCCTCTCAACAAGTTGAAATGACAACCTTGTTCCTCACGAAAATATAAACTCAGGACACTCACTTTTCTTATAACCAAACCCTACAATTTGAGGGTGAAACATGAAAGACATTGGTGAAGCATGAATAATCGGCTAAGGATATTTTCTCATCTTATGCTATGGTAAAGGATCGATCACTAGGGGGTTCTTTGCGAACACCCTGATAATCGAAACTTTTCCATAGGTTTAAATGGCAGATAGACCGATTTATCGCAAAACACGATATGCTACTGATGGAAGACTGACCTGGTTGCCGAAAACTCCGATGGAGCATGCCAGTGACACCTCGGAGGGTCCAAACCACACAGCGGCGAGCCTTGCTGGAACGCTGAGGATGAACACTTGAGAGATGGCTACGATGGTCTGTCCAATGAAAGTCACGTAAAATAATGTGGGGTGCACTGAGAACAGTTTCACTATGGACCCAAAGCAGGTCCCGAATGCACCCAAAAGTACAGCTTTCCTCAGTCCCTGAAATTGGTCGTATTTTGTGAGATCGTGGATTATTTTAAAAATATAAACTCACTTTCGAAGAATATTGACTTATCGATTGCTGAAGTGCAAAATTACGTGTCTCCATTGTGATGTTTCAAAATTTTCGCTCCGATCTTATTTTTTTAGAGAGAAACTAACTATCTTCATGCATTAAAGTTGCAAAGAATATTCTTCTAACAGAGGGGAAAATCAAGAAAATTATCAAAAAATTATGTTGAATAGTTTTCCAAAGAAAAAATATTGTCGGACAGGAAATCTACAACGTCGCAAACGGAGCTACGTGGTTTTGCACTTTGATCATCGATGTGTGATTAGCGGTTGAGACATCTATCGTGGTATCTGAAATTTTTGAACTTTTCAGTACCTATCAAAATTTTCGTGGAAAACTTTTCCATGTACTGTTGTACACTCTTGAATCAGTAACTCAAAGATTTTTAAGTGGACTGGAGATCCTTTGCCCGTGAATCACGTAGAATAGGAAATACCGAGGGTGATACCGTGGGTGATACTGAGGGTGATGGGGCACCTGCCATTAGATTTTGTCGAGACGTAGAAATCTTAATCGGTCATTAACCAATGAGAACGGTTGATGAGACTACAGCAAGGAGTTGACACTATTTCTCTCTGCACATGACTTTGCAATGGTTTCAGCTGGACCTGCGGTTGCTTGCTATTGACAAGAAAAAATACTCTTGATTCAATCAGACTTTTGCTTAAAGCAAAAGGAAATCCACTCAAATTAAGAGGCTTGGTTCTTGATTTAAGCAAAAATCCGATTGAATCAAGAGTTTTTTTCTTGCCGATGTTTTTAATAGTCTGGACTCTAGATCCAATGTGTTTTTTTCCCCGCAGTGTCTTTGAGGCTGCTTACAACACCTGCATCCCAAGTAACACAGCGCAACGAATGAAAATGTTGAAATAAAATTTCGATTTGTTGCATTAAAATTGAAATTTTTTGACCATAAAATTGCAATATTTTTACATCATTTGGTTAATAAATGCCAATTTTAAACAATCGACAGAATAAGTTCTATGTGTCAAAAAGACAGGCAATATGCGATACAACTGCAACTGATTTCGATTTTATTGCAATAAATTTCAATAAGCCGGGCGCCTTCAATCAGTAGATAGGCAACATACACAGCACTCTGATGCAGTAACACTAATTGGACTGCATTTTGCAATTTGGAACTATAAATTCTGGCTCAGCTGGAAAAACACTTATGTGCACAGGGCAACTAAGTAATGGCACATACGTCGTTTTTAAACCGGGCTAGAAATCATAGTTCCAAATTGCAAAATGTAGTTCAATTTTGCCATGCAATTGCAATTTACTGTAATCTGTGTTACTTGTGATACACAACTTTCTTGGGGTTTTTGGTAAGAAAAAAAAAAAAAAAAAAATCCGAGTGTTTACTCACCAATTTATCAAGGGCCCAAGAGCCAGGGAATATGAGAATGATGTAGGTGAACATGTAGATGACGGAGGTGAGATCGACTGCGAAGTTGGAAACCGAGTAGTACTTGGTGACGACATCGGCGATGATGGAGTACTGGATCCATTGCATCCCATTGGCCATCGAGTAAAGCACGAACAGGAACAGGATGAGCCATCTGATCCGGTAGACTCGACATTCTGAAATTTTAGATTTAACAGGATTTACAGACTTTACTACTGATCCCGGTTTTCCGGCGCCTTTTTCCAACTCGACGCACAAAGTTGCCGAATTTTTATTCGCCATCGCACTGGCCCTTCGGCGTGGGTCACTCACTGTAACCTTACTTCAAAGTATAAAACAGTCATCGTTCGCTGTTGACATGGTCAAGTTCAACTTTTCCACGAGATGCACTATAGATGCGCCAAATATGTCCCACCACATCGTTGTTGATACCAGTATTTTTGGCATCGGTTATCTAGAGTTTCGAGTTTTTTGTGAATAAGAATTTCGCATTGAAACGGCGTTTCTTCACCTGTAAAGTCAGATAGGAGTTTTTGAATGTGTCGGAAGTTTTCATTTGACAGACTTATTAGTGCAACGCTACCATGTAAATGCGTTCTTTAAGACGTTTTCAGGAATCGGAAGTAGATACGTGCATCTTTTAAATTAAAACATCCTTAAAGCCGCTCAGTATTCCCGCCCGTTGGAGGTACCTACTTTCTGGCACATCGTTTCTTCATGTATGAATACTTGTTCCACTTACAAAAAAGGCTGATTGACTTATACGAAAATTGTAAAACAGCGACAGAAGAATCGTTAATCATAATGTTGTGATACAGGGCCGGATTAAGGGGGTGGCCACATGGGCCGCGGCCCATGGCGGCAAATCTAGGAGGCGGCAAATTTTGCCATTTTCTTAAATGTAGGTATAAAAAAAATCGGATTTAGAAAAACATTACAAACAAAATCTCTCATTTTCTGAGAGTATAGTAATTTCTAATTTTGTCGTCTTTCGGTGGTACAAGAGACAGCACCTTTATTAAGTAATCGAGTTAAGACCAAATCGAGACCAAACACGCAATTTGGCCAGGAACGGCGCGACTGAGAGAGAAATGATGACGAGGACTTGAGATGAAAAGGAGAAGCCCTCGGTGCGGCGGTCGGCATGTATAACACATATTAGCGCCTACAAGACTGCACGAACACTTCACACATTGCATCGAACACAGTGCGGTCACTGCAGTCAGCGTGAAACGCACAGCGCCTACAAGACTGCGTGAATACTTCACGCATTGCGTTAAACACAGTGCGTTCAGCAGCGGTCGTCGGCGTGAAACTCATAGCGCCTACAAGACTGTCGGAATACTTCACGCATTGCTCCAAACACGGTGCTGTCTGCGCGGCGCGGCGGCGGAAGTTAAAATCATTAAACCACATTTATGTTTGTTCTTTCATAATTTTGTCGTTCATTTCTTATGAATAGAAGGCCTTGTTCACGCAGAGATAGGTTTGCGAAACTTAAAATTCGCTAATACATGCATTGAGTTAGCCGGTCAAAATATGTCACACTAGCTAGGCAGTGTGTTGGAATCCGCTACAGAACACATTTAGCACACGCAGTTATTCTGGCACTTAAAGGGACTTAAATCACACAGTAATGCCTTTTCCTACCACACCACCTCTTTGATTTTATCGTTGGAAGAGCACTTTTATCCTAACAAGTATCTGTAATTTTTAAGTAAGGTTGTCAAAGCAGACCATTGGTTAAAATTATCGTTTATGAAGCTTCCTCCAGCTACCTTGTACATAGAAAAAATCACCAGAAATTCTCTACAGCGTAATTTGAAAGCCGGATCGGGAGGCACTCTGCCACGTTAAATCTCGAACATCGGGCTTATGAGACGTAAGTACTTCGAAGTATACAAAAAATCGGCAAGGATTTCAACTTGCTCTCAAGTACCAGCTGCTCCCTTCTTTTAGGTGCAAAATACAATTTCATCATTTTTGAAAAGAAATACGAAAGAAGAAATTCAAACATAAATTACAATTCCTCATCTTCCATTGTTTAAAAATGGTGGCTCCTAGAGTTTTTAAAAAATGTATGATCATAAACCACTTCGGACAGCTGGTGATAGTTAGGAACCTCTGGTTTGTACTAAAGACTTTGATTGTTATTGCAATGCTTTATTTCTTGCCAAGGCACAAAAATATAATACCCTCCCACTAAGGCTGCTATCAGACTCTGTTCGCGTTTATCTCCTCTTTTTCCTAGTGGAGGGAGGAGAGGAATGTCACCACTAAGAAATACATAATAGGAAAGAACAACATGTGCATAAAAAAATCAATGAAGGAACCAAAAAATTAAAAAAAAAAAAATAAAAATTGTGCAGACCGAAGATTCTTGCTCATAGTCAATTGAAAACGGCGGCCTGATAAATTTGGAATTTTCAAATATTTGACTGACCATCGTATTGAAACGATATTACGTAAATCAATTTTACTAGGTGCCAACTTATGCAAAAATGATTCTTTTTTAAATGTTTGCAAAACTTTATCACGAGTGAAGCGTCATGATAGAGAATTTTCAGTTTAAGGGAGGGGGGGGGCAGAGGTGGTTGTGCGACTTCAATTCTATTGATTTACTAAACTTTTTGAAATATCGACCATAATATGCATACTCGTGCATTTCACATCTCAGACAGTGAGCAGGGTGCAAACGTTAAACTTACAAGGAGAGAGACTAGGTTTTCAAATCACTGCATCTACATTCTGTAAAAATGCCTAATTGTAAGAGTATTTCAGAAAGTTAATTAGTAACCTCTTTCGTCAACCTTGTGAGATTCGTTATTTTTCTTTGCTCTTCATACCCTCACTTGGTATGCGACATTCTTTTCCTCTCCGTATCCACCACATCTGCATGAAAACGTGACCGAAGAGCTAAAAAGTGCTACATGACACTCGAGAATCATCATCACTTACACAGCGTGACCTAACCGAGAGTAAAGTGAAAATTGTTGAAGATGAAGAGTCAACAGCATATACATTCCTCCGTTCATAAGCTTGATCAACAAATATTTTAAAAAAATATTTTTTTTAGGCTTGAAAAATCAATTCATACGCAACGGTCATTCTCTCATGAAAGGGAAAATACAGTTTGCAAATTACATGATTTGTTTTCTCTCTTTGATTAAAAAAAAAAAATTACATGATTGAGGGGGGGGGGGAATTCAGCTTCCTCGTCAAGAAAAAAAGACAAATGCACAGCGGTTTTTTCCGTATTTGAGTTTAAACAAATTCATGGGCAGATCTAGGGGGAGGGGCGTAATGGGCGTACGCCCCCCACATGTTTGCTCGAAAAAAGAAGGAAGAAAAAAGGTAAAAATAAGAAAAGAAGGAAAGGAGGAAAGAGGAAGGTTAAACGCTTACATTAACCCTGCCTAGTCTGCCTGAGTGGGGTCAGATTGACCCCACGGGAGTTTCAACTCTTTGCCATTTCTCGTGGTATGCACGAAATTTTTTGTCCTTCACAAATAGCTCTACAAAAACATCTAGGAACACGATTTTGAAGGGAAAAAAAANGTACCCCTAGAAAGCCTGAGCGGGGTCAGATGTCCTTATAACATATATTTTACCATTTAGCATCACAAAAGCTTACTTTGAAGGTGTATTCATTTTTCTCTTTTTAATTTTTTTCAGAAACTTATAAAACAAGCAAAATTTTTCAGATTTTCTTCGTTTTCAGTAATTAGTAGCCCTATGATTTTTTTTTCTCATGCTGAGAACAACATGGCAACATGTGTATGATAAAATGGTTGCATACCTTGCGCCGTGTTTTTTTAAAACTTAGATATGCTTTATGGTTAAGGCCTGTAAGGTTAGTGCACTGATATTAACTAAAAGCATGAAAAAAACATAGCTAACTAATTGATTTTCAGCTGGGGTCAAATTGACCCCGCTCAGGCTTTCTCGTTGGTTCAGAGGCTCAGGCAGACTAGGGTTAAGCAATTATTAATGACAAAATTGACTCAAAATGCATATTAGACGCTTCAAAAATTTAAAAATTTTTGGGGGAGACCCCCGGACTCGCCTTACGCCGCGCCGCCCCCTCCCCCGGGGTTCGAGGTGTCTGGATACACCCCCGAACAAATTATCGTAACGGGCAAAAAAAAAGATGAAAGTGCAATTGAACATTTTGGATAGAAACAAATCGTTTGCACTGTACTTTATACTTATCGTGGAAGGTACGAATAGTGGAAATTGTTGTTAATGCAAAAATATGTGTAAACTATGAGAAATACTTCAACTGGGCAGATCATGGGCAATGGGTCAACTTTTGACAAAAGCCCAAGTGCATACAATTGCCCTAAATTGCCAATTTTTGCATGTAATTACGTTCCACGATGTACAATCGTCCTACCAAAATAAAATGATGGCATAAATGATAAGAATATATTCCTATTAAAAATGACGAGAATCGAAATTAAACGAACAAATTATTAATTTGGCCTGCAACTGAAAGCGATAAGCACTCTCAATACAAACGACACGATTATACCATTCATTCGAAGTCGAGAGACTAGAAAATATCGGAAGACTAATAGGTTAAGATTTCCATCTCACAATTTGGCATTATTTTTAAAGTTTGTGACATGAATGCATGTCCACTTTCTTCAATTACCTCTCCATTTATTTAACTGTAAGTATGAAAATGCACCTGTCTTTCACCCATACGACAAAATTTCTCATTTTGCTCGACAGATCAACGCATTGTGATGTTCGCGATGGCCTTTCCAAGGCACTGCGCCTGGTTATAACGAGCCTGCAACCCTACATACACCCGCAAAATAGAAACTTCAGGGAATGGCAATCGTCATCATCTTGGAATGTTCACGACTAACTTTCAAATACTACGCCATCAGCTATGAAAATTCAACTATCCCAATAACACAACAAATCCTAAAAATCCAATGTCTTCGTTTGTCGTTTCCGATTAATCTATTTCGTGATTAAGAATGGTAAAACAATGTAATGAAATCAATTCACTTCTCACCTGGGAATAAAGCGATCTTTTCCCCGTCCATAGTGCGTTTATTGATGGAAAACTAGACATAAATATTGGAGAAATAATTTACTAAAGCTCACCACGCTTACAAATTGTAAGCCACGAAAATATTTAATTTACTGAATTCAATTTTTCACCGTCAGAATTAAATTACCGGTGATAAGATTGTAAACCTCTATCTTGATAAATTTTGAAACTTATGGCAAATCCAGGCTAAGGTAACTTAATTCAAATGTGTTTAAAACACAGGTAAAATTTCTCCACCGAGTGACTCCTTGATTTTGATGTGTGCACTTTCCGTTTAAATATTTCAAGTAACGAGTTTAATACCAAGATCATACAAAATTTAATTCGTCTGTAGACACTGACAGCGAGGACATGTAAACACTGATTCGAGGTTGAGCTTTGAGAGCTAACTAAAGTACTCACCTACACAACAATCACTCCATTCACAACCTACACTGCTCTTA